TTTTCTATTTTCGTCATTTTCGATTTTTTCCCCTCTCGCTTCAATTAATGTGTTTCGTTTTCATTGTATTTTATGGGGGTTTTTTTTTTTAAGGTATTTTAGACTTTTTAGCGGTCTTTTTCGGACTCTTAAGTGTTTTTTCCAAGGTTTTTTTTTTATCGTATTAAATATTAAAATCCACAACGTCCTAATTATACATTCGTGTTTTCGTTAAATAATCGTACGGTTTTCCAGAAATATTAATATTAATTATTTACGCGTGCCGGACAATAGTTCGAGCACAATAATTTTTACTACAGTTGTCGTAGGCGTTACCCACTCATTATTACTATTTTATCGTACGCGCTATGTGATTTATATTTTGTTGCAAGGGTTTTTTTTTTTTGCCAATTTAAAATTAATTGGATCGGTCAATTAGACTGACGTATTTAAAATTAAAAAAATGTTCACAGTCATACAAATGCTTTTTGAATGCGGCAATGCCTACCGGCCGAGTGTAGTTGCTGCAACAGACGCGACGGTGAACAAATTAATTTTAATTGACCAAAAACTATTATTATTATACGAAATAAATGAAAAAATATTTATGCTTTTTCGACGTAGGTACACAGATATTGTTATTTTCATTCGTTTTTACGTTCTGAGTGAGAATTGTATATATTGGTTTTACTATGGTGTGTTAATTTTTGCGGTTCCGTGACTTTTCAACCAGAAATATCGCTTCGATCAAAAACGTTATCGGAACTTTCTTATAGCGTTTTTAATCTATTTATCGCATTGAAAGAGCCAATTTTTAATTTTCCATGTGGTTTTCTTATTATAAATGGATAAAACTGGCAGTTTTTTCGACATAATTTTTTTCAATTCTAAAATACTCATGATAAATAAAACACTTTTCTCAGAATCGTTTTGTTTTTAACAATCGTCGTATATGCGGATGTTAATTAAATTACCGTCTATATATTATATACGCTTCTTACTTTCCAACTATTTTCTAAAACTATGTCTCAGCCCTTTTCGTTAGTCGTCTCGCTGTACATGCATTATGTATGAGCGAAAGCATTAAATTGTAGTAACAGACAGTGTATGTATTGTATAGTGTGTACGAGCATGTATAGTGTTTCAGTAAGCAAAAGTCTTCCTAAAGTCAGATATAGACACTGATGCCGTATAATATATGAAATATATTATTACGGGTTTTTTTGACGGATATATACGAGACTCTTTGCGATCATATGTTTTTTTTTTTGTTTTCTCATCATAAAAAAATCCCCGAGTTCCCGCGAAGAGGGAAAAAAATGATAGATCATCGTAAAGTCGTATATACGCGTATTCTATAAGACGTCTAAGGCGTTTCTTTCACCTATTTATTCTCTCTTTGAACCTCCGTATTCGAGATAACGGTCTTGCGTGTGCCGTTTTTACTGACATCAGCGAGAAAAAAACGGTTTTTGAAAGAACATTCTTAATTGATAAATGTGTATACATTATATATCCAGATCTCAGAGACCTGCACGACGACGAAAATACTATAGCGAATGACCGGTGCGTTTTGCAAATCTAAAACACGTTATTGTAATATTATCTCGCTCTCGGAATCAATATAATATACATAATTTTTTTTTTATTTTGTTAAAAGCCGTATTTTAACTTTAATAATGTGTGTTGTTTTTATAATATATAGCTGGTATTGTAAAGTGATAGTGTCAACGCGCGAAATTATTTTTTTCTTTCTTTCCCCCTCCCGTTTAAATATGCGCGTAACTCGATTAAAAAAGTTGGCGGTCCCCGGTCGGTTCACGTTTTCGTAGTTTCGCGACAAAACTTTACGTCGAAATCGTGATAACGAAATTCGTTGTTTAAAAATGTATTGCACTCGTTAATTATTACGTTTTATTTTTGAATTCAATAATAATATGTTTGGGCTGTTTTTTTTTTGTCCGTTTGTGATTTCATAGATGTGTTTTATACCAATTATACAGTTATAATTATTACAGTTAACAAGATTGAAACGCTGTCGAATTTTTACATCTGGTGTTCTCCAGGCTTCAATATTATTTATAAAAAAAATATAATCATTGATAACACTACTGATTGTCTTTTACGAATTTGGTCACATATTTAATATGCATAGTTAAGTTGAATACTTACTGCAGACTGCAATAAAATAGTGAAATATATAATATTATAATCATTTATTATTCGCGTGAGTGAGTAAATATTTTATAACATAACATTTTTACAATGCTTATGCAAATTTAATATACGTACTTATACTATTGTGTTTGTATTCCAAATAATAATAAAAAAAAATATGATGCAAATTGTTTGACTATATATATGATAATTGATACAATGAATAGCTTATATTTTGATTAGTTTTTCGTGGCCTATGAAGCAGCTGCTCTCCAAAAGGATCTTTGGTGTGCCGTGCCCAAACTGAGTGCTTGTGATAAAAAATAAAATAAAATGCACGTTTTAATATTATTCAACAGTTCTGTATTTATCTACGTTCATTTTGTTCCGATAAAAAAGTTTAACACCACGAATACCGTTTTCCTAAATATATATATTTTTTTTTTTAACAGTGTACGAAAATGAAAATTTATATGTTTGCGGTCGTAATGCGATGCCCGTAATTTTATTCATACAAGTTCAAGGCCGTTCACTTATTTTTATTTATTTATTTTTTTATAATTATTATTATTATTACCTATACCATACGTATACACCGCGGCAATCCCGTCGACGTCACGGTGACCTAATTTTTAAACGATTTTCGAAAAATAAAAATATGCGATTTTTTTTATTATTTCTTTCGTTTTTCCCCCGTATATTTAATAACGTCTAAAAAGCATAATGTATTAAATCACATGCAACCTTCTCCTTCTCCTCCTCTCCTCCTCCTCCGACCTTTTGAGGGTTCCCCTCGCTACACACACACACTATTATACTTATAACTCCCTCCCAGGTTATTTTTTTGTTCGGTGCCCTCTCCTACTGTGCTATGGTTGATGGCGCGAGAAAAGTCCCGTCACACACCAGTCACGCAGACCTACCGCTCCTCCCTCGAGTACACATTGACGTACTTATAATACTACGCACAGCTTGTCATAGGTACCCAACTAAAGCGTCGTGCAATACTGGCGGTTGTTTTACACTTTTGACGGTGGCGGCACTGTGACAATATAAATTACGTGACCTCGCCCCGGTGCAGGCATATTCACAGACTGTATTCGAGTTCGGCCCGCGCCGAAACGTGATTCGGGTTAGTTTTAGCGGCGGTTTTGTAGCCCGACAAAGCATAACCTGTTGGTCTAAACCTGATAACGTCCTTAGCGTTAACCTAAAACCTACTGCAATCGATCTAACATATAGCCATCGCGGGTATGTAGACAAATCGGAGGGCACGCGGAAAAAAATATTACCTACTTGTTGGTCCGAACCCGGTACAGTTCCTAGGAAGTTCTAGTGACTATATAAGTATATTGTTAATCCAAAATGTATAAAGCCTATGAAAAACAACGACAAGGCGCGTATTTACATATTACCGCACCTTACCGGAAATATACGTTCTGTAAATACCCCGTGAGCCTAACGAGACCTTATGTCGCCGGGTATATAAGGTGCGACGAGGATATTAAACTGGCCGGATGTCGCGGGTCACAGTTATCGTTGCTACTCCGACTACGAATAATATTCAATAATTAGCAAGTAATATATATTTTGTATTATATTATTACTAATATCCTTACCACCTGAAAATATTTTTTTTTGTATTCAAGGTATATCTATAGAATGGAAAAATGTCTTGTGCAATCGCATAGGAAATTTTACACCCTATTTACAATTTGTTTAGTTTTTTTAAATTGTTTTGATACATATATTATATTAAACACCTACATTTCTAATCATAATTAGTTTTTGAATTGTATAAATACGCGTGGTTATAAAACTCGAAAACTCGTAAAATAATTCGAAACGAGGATATGTTGTTTCATGGAAATGAAAATAAAATCTAATACATTTTAGATTTTTGATTTCGAAAATCCGGATTTTTCAATCAACATTTTTCCATTTTTCGTGTTTATTCGATGCTAGACATTAATAAGTCGAAAAGTAAATTTGATGTTAACTTTTAAACGTTTGATTTTGTACTTACTTAACTTTGAACTATACAGTGTTTACATGCGTATTTTGAAAGTATCATAAACTCTCTCCGATTAATCGTTTCCGATTTTCGAACGTGGCGTCTTTTCTGAAAGGAAATTGTATAGTCGGTACATCGGGTGACGCTCAGTTTGGCACTTTGCCCGTCCCTTATGTATAGCTTTATGTGTATAATTGTATTTCGATTCACTTAGACGAGTTATTAATATATTACTCATTATTATTAAGTACACTTGCCCCCGGACTTAATTGTTTCGTTACGAACGCGTTTAAACGACTTACGTATAATGTTTGAGTTTAGTAGATCATAATTATTAACCGCCTAACGTTTGGTTTTTCGTTTTGTTTCAGACTATATTGCTGTCGCCACCGAAGAGGAAAAATAATCTTACACCAAAAACCGTTGTCGTCGCGTGTTTGATGTTTTTTTCCCCTAAGAAAACTATGTAACCGGTAAGTTTAGAGACTCTATTGTCGAAAACTTATTACGTCCTTATATTATGTTTTAATCGTAATAATATACGCGACCATAATAATTCGTTCAAAAGGATAATATAATAATATTATTGGTGTGTGTACATCTACGTATGTATTTATATATAATACGAAATTGTATTTTGCCGTTCTTCCCGCGCGGCTAACCCAATATTGTTGCGCGTAAATCATTCGGTTAGAGAGGATAAGAGGATTTATTTTAGCAAGAATAATAATATTCTGTTTGTTGTATTTAATGGCCCACGTGTGTGTGCGTTGTATTTGCGGCGGAAATCCGAACGCCGGAAAATAAATATATATATATATATAAGTACCTACTATACGCAGAATATATAGGTATATATAAACATGGAATCCCAATACCTAAGTATATATTTTGATTAACGATGGGGTATATTGAGGTTTTGCTTTGTAAGCGGCGAACCCAAAGCGGAAATATAAATAAAAAAAAAAAAAAAAAAAAAAATAGCAAACTTGGATTTTCGGAGTTATTAACGAGAAAACCACCGTATTGTTTTATTAGCCGAAAAACTATAAGTAAAAAAGATAATATTATCGGATTAACCGAGCGAAAATATTGCGGTTTCATAACAACTCATTATGGTAGTAGTAGTAGTAGTAGTAGTAGTAGTAGTAGTAGTAGAGTCGTAGCAGTTAGTTATTTTCGGTTGTTTAAAACTTGGCTTTTGATCTTTAAAAAAATGCAATCGAAAATTTCGGTATGGTTCGGGGTATACGCATGTATATAATATATATATATGCGTCATTATATACGGTAGTGTTTGAAGATTAAAACTTCTCATGTGAAAGATTTTTCAAAAATAGTTAAGATGCTGTAAGAAAAATATTTTATTTTTATAGTCTGTTTAAAAAATAATATCACGATATATTATACATAGTTTGGTTGTTGGTAATATTATTAACACTATATAATTTCGGGAGATTAAAGGCCGGACGCTCGCTTGTTGTATTAACGCATTTAAACAATAAGGCGAGCAGCCCCTGATCGAATTCGTTATTATATTTGCATGCGAATCTATTGCCGTGCGAATGCATGACGAAAAAGTTTGTTTTACCGATGAATTAAGTCTGGGAAGTGTTACGTTCTTCATTCCGCAAATCTTATGTGTAAGTTATAATATATTAGGTATATATGATATACCGGTACAAACTGGCGTATCAAAGTGGCGTATAAGCTCCCGATTGTAACCGATTGGAATCTATAGGGTCTAAATAATCGTTTAGTGGAAACAGCGTTTCGAAATTTGCAAGATTATGTGAGCACATACGGACCAACTGCAGGCAGACAGACACGAACAAATTCATAAAGTAGCACGTGCTTCTTCTTCTTTTTCTGTTTAATCCTAAGGTTGGTTTGTAACGATTCTTCGCCCTTCTCTGTTCCGTGGCCTTTATTTTCGTTTCTTCATAAGAATCACACGTTTAGTCCTTTAAATATCTGTCGTATATACGACATGGTCTTCCTCGTACAACTCTTTACCTTCCAAGCACACGTCTATAATTAACCCCAGCAACTCGCCATGTCTCATTTCGTGTCCAATCCATTAATTTCGTATTTTCTAGATACTATTCCATATAGAGCTCTTATTTTTGATATTATTCCTTAAAGGAAGAGTATTAAAATAATAAAAAAGTAACTTAATATGCTATTTGATAATTATACTGTTATCATTTGTAATATTCACCGATTCGGTATTAATTTATAAATAATGAGTATATACGTGTTGGACACTGCAGTCAAAAATTAATAATTTTACTAGATAAGAGTATCTACATATGTGGCGCTGACAAACTGTTGTAATTATTATTACACACCCGACCACGAAATTCAGCCAATTATTCAAATGCATTTCAAATTTAAACGACGGGCATAAATACTACAATAATTATAAAAAAATAATTTTTAATTAAAAACAAATACGCAATAAACAATAAAATATATATTATTTAAAACCGATTACTTTTTATTAGTTGTAACTTTAGGCATAGGTATATATACTATATATGTTTCGGTAATAACATTTTAGTTTATTTTTATCGATCGTAAACTGTGAATTATTATCTTTTGTTATGATGTAAACAAATGCTATTATAAGCAGTGACGTATAGAGTACTTGTATGTTTTGTATGTGTGAAGCTCAGCAAATTGTTATACTTACCACCACTATATCATCATCACCACTACTACCACGACATCTCTTTTATGACCATATCGGTTATAAATTGTTATTACTTCAAACTCTCTGTTTTATATACCATTTTACAGACGGGCGACGTATGCAATTTGCGTTCACCAGTACCAATTTTGTGCTGTTAATCTTAATATTAGTGTTAGTATTATCAAAGGACATGATCAGTGTTTGTACGTTAATTTTTGTTCGATATTTTAATTTTTAAGTGAGATATAAGTGTTTTTAAATCGTCATATTTCACACACTCATATCTCGCTTAAAAATTTAAATAACGAGAACAAAAGAACTTTTGTACAAACATAGATAGTATCGTTATTTTTAAATTTTATTATAGATCAATAATACTTTGATGATAAAACTACCGGCACAAAATTGGTCCTACTGAATGCAAATTTAGTGTAGTGGAGCGTTTGTATCATATCGGTACTGCGTCGTTTTAGGAGAGTGCATAAAGTGTAATTCTTAATTTTTGCAGAACTCTAAAAAATATTTTGATGATTTTTCACTTTTACGGTTTTTCTTTGATTGAACGCCTATAATTTTATATACACGTTTATGTTTGGTTTTTACATTACTCGATAGCAATTGTTATCTTATAAACGGACATTTTTTACATTTAGCCAAACTGAAATAGTATAAACATCATTTATAATAAAATAATAATTGATCTTATTTTTCTTTGGAAAATCTATTTTCGTAATTTGAAATACTATCTCAATTAAAATATGTAATGCGAAAAAACGCCTTGACCGATATTTCAATAAAGTCATCTGATAATAATACTATACCTTGATAATATTTTTTTCGATTCTTATAATATGGTGTTGCAAATAATGTACGAAAATAAAAAATAAATTGCTATATTTTAGCCTAAATATCTAGAAAAAAACAAAGTTTCCGCGGCGTCGGTTAAATTATATTTAATGAAAAGTAAAAATCGTCTTCTACTTGTCTGCGAATATAATTTATTATACAACAAGAGAGAATATTAGCGTTCATTCTTTAATTCAGGCGTTTTTCTTTTCTCCGTTTTTTCTCTGGTTAATTTTTCTTTCGACAATTTCCCATTACAGGCGTTATAGTTGAGCAAAAAATAAATAACATTACGTTAAAATTTGATTCTGTCCGATGGGTCGGTATGATGCAGTGATGGAGGAAGTTGAGTACCATACGAGTACCTATTAACGAATCGTCATCCCCTCAAGTATTTTTAATCGGTTTTCAGTACATTGTACTTCTGTTTAGTATATTATACAGGATACCCACTCGAACTCGGACGTTTCTTTTGTTTATTATATCGATTTTACTTTTAAATTATAAACCAAGCGAAAAATGTATATTGGTTCCACTATGATGTGTTTTATTTCGTGTATGTGTCTGTATAAACATCTTTTATATCGGAAATCTTGTTCCGATCAAAAACTCTTTAATGAACGTTTTTGTAGAATTTTCGATCTAATTGGCGCATTTAAGAGGTTATTTTTTTCATCTTATAGTCTTCTTAACAAATGGATAAATACTGGCGATTGTTTTAATTTTATACACATTTTATCGATTTCCGGGCAAAACTGACACGATTAATAATACTCTGCTCAGAATCGGATTAACGTCGCATAAGATGTAAATAAATTTTCTCTTTACATCCTCCCTTTCAGTTTACATTTTAAAACAGTGTCATATATACTCATACCATACCATATCAATCAGCTACAGTATTAGCCTTTGTCTCTCTCTTTTTTTAAATTTATATTTAGATTCTGATTGTATTTGTTCTTCGAGAATTTTCAAATCATAATACAATAAAATTAATATTATTATGTACAGTACTGGAGGTCCGCATGCGGTTTGGCTAACGGTCAATTAAGTATCTATGTAACCGTGTCGGATTGGACGAAAAGGAGAGTAGTATATAGGTACCTATATAAAATTATGTCAATTCGACACAGCCCTCGAGAATATTATTGTGCGTATAATGTAACCTCTCGTACAATATTAAATTTGTTTAACGAAAATGATATTATATTCAGTAAACTTATAAGTATATAGGCGGACAAACTGCGCCGTATTTTCTTCGTTATAGACGGTCCGTATACATAAAAAAAGTAATCATTTTTTTGCCTCTATAACTATATAATAAGAAATTACGTTGAAAAAAAAATTGTATACAATATATTCTGTTATTATTTTACCGGTCGAAAGTTTAAAAAGAAAACAAAACCAGCGTCAATTTTTATTTTTTTTTTTTTTTTTGATCTTCAACCAACACGGGAGGACTTTCGTGGATATTGTATTAATAATATAATATGGCGTAGGTAAGAACTAACTGAAATATTAATTAATAATAGAACACCCCGCCTATACAGCATACGATATTATATTATTATACGCGCGTTTCTATAGAAAGTCCAAATATTGAAGTAATTTTATAATTTATTGACGATGAAATATTTCAGTCTTCAGACACTTATATACAATATACAACTATACGAGAGTACCTATTGTACTTAAATATTAAACGGTTATAATATATAATACATAAACCGGGTGTCTGAACCCGGCTGATGTATAGACGTATAGACGCGATTCAAGTTAAATTCTCCAATCGTTATGATAGAATAATAGCGTTGAATATTTAAAATATCGGTAAAAATCGACATATATACTAACACAAATAATGTGCTTACCTTTACGTTTGATAACAGATTAAGTTATTATAAAATCAAAACCATAGGTGCAACTAGAAGGGGGGGCTATGTCCCTTCAGTTTTCTAAATGTTACGACCCTGTGACGACAAATATAGTTACTTCGATATATTCTTATTTTATAATAATTGTTTGTATTTGTTTTTATGATTACAATAATGTAATACAATAATATTCTGTTTTCAAATTTAAGCAAATACATTTGCTCTAGCCGCCCCCCCCCTCACCAGAATTGTTACCTTAGTTGCGCCTATGGTCAACATTAAAATTTAAAATATTTGTTCTGCCGATGAATGCGAATTTTCCATGTCCGTACGTTTGTAATACATGTGACGTGTACCATCCTCTCAAGTACAAGTTCGACAAATACACTATTATAGTATCTAAAAAATACCGTTATTGCGATTTTATTTTATGGTATTTTGATGCTGTATAATTGTTTTATTTTTAACGGATTTGACTGCTTTTGAACGTAAATGAACATCTCGTGCCGAAAAATCATTTTTATTTAAAAATGATGAGCGTACGATTTATTAAAGTAAAACAGCCTAGCTATACGAGGGAAATTAAATAACGTCCCTTTATCTCCGGGGAATGGCATATCCATTAAGTTAAATAGTAATTAATTATACTAAAAAGGCCACTTTTTAATCATGAATATCATCCGCCATATTATTATCTCATTGGAATAAGTTGAAAATGAACGTGTTGGTCCTCTATGTAGATAATTTTGTTGTCTTTAATGTTCAGTAAAAGTTCTAAAAATACTTTGAAGTATAGGTATGTTTTGTTTTCTATCTTATACGTGAACGTGTCGAACAAATTCTTATTAACAAAGAAAACACTACGTGTCTCGTGATCAAGACCGTGGACCGAAATTGAATTTTTGAATATGTTCGATTTGATACATTTACTAGGTATTTAAAATCGTTTTATTAAAACCCCTAGCTTGTACACAACCTCTTGAATATTCATAATGACATGAACTCCTTTAAAACAAAAGAAAAAATAAAATTTAAATAATAAACGTCAAGAAATAATTACTTATACAGTGTTGATAACCTACTTATTATAAATATATAATAATATTGTATTACGTCATTAAAACATGTTACAAAGTTTAGAATTAATAACGAAATATAAAGTTTAAACCAGAAGTTTAACTAAACTGTTTAAAATAATATATTATTAAACGACACCTCGAAAAAACAAAGCAAGACTTCCGCCGCTTAGGGCGAGAGAGTTCAAAATGTTAACAGTTGCGACATTTAAAACATAATATTACAGACTAAGGCAACCATGGACATTATAACTAAATCCAATACACGAAGACTATTATAAATGAAAAATTATTTAAATCTAAGGTTTGCGGATAATTGACTAGCATTGATTTAGTTTTAAATCTAGTAATATCAATCATCAATATTTAACTTTCTACATAAACCAAATAACCATATTGAATTTCTTATTATTATTTTTTTTTTTTTCATTAAACTTTTAAATAAATTAAATTGCTTAATGTTTTGTAATCGGGTATTGTAAACAATACGCTGTGGTTTTAATATATCGTCACATAAATTTTAAATAGATTTAAGATTACTTTTTTTATGTATAATAACGAGCTTTTAAATTTAATACTTCAAAATCATAAAACAGGTTAATTGTAGGATACGACCTAGCTGGCTTGTGCGAAATTATTTTTATCAACCCACGCGCGTTTATGCCCACGAGATGAGTGTTGTATGTTCCGTCCCAGATTTCTATACCATATAACTAACAAATTGATGATTGCACAAATGAAAACTAAATTATTTTTAATAACGGAAAACTCGGGATTCGCCTTGAATTTTAAAAATATAAAAAAAAGTGTGTGAATTTAAAGAATATTATGCTGTATATGATTTAACCGATTAAATTTTTCACCAACCATAACTACCAAATACTTAGTTATTAATACTTAGTTAAATCGACATTTCAAATAAGCATGGAAAATATGATAACAACATTATTTTTTTATATAACCGCAAACACTGTAAGATATATGCTGATAGTTTATTTTGTTTACCGTTAAAAGTTCGCGTACAATTTATTTGAAAATATTACGTTTACTCGTACAGAGCGATAGGCTTGACGGAAAATAGGAATTTCTATCATTTATTTGTGAAGCTCTTAGTAAGTATGTGGTCTTTTAAAATCAAAACGTGATAATGACGGTTTCAAACATAAGACCTATACAAAAGGTAATTTAACTTTCTATAGAGTCGTCTGTTTCTTAACTTTTTCGAAAAAAAAATAATAATAATCCTACAATAATTATAATACTTTGCGATGTAATAAATGTGTATTTCGGTTCGTACATAAAAAATATGATTCGGGTGAAACCCCCCTCTCCCCTTCACATAAAATTTGAAAAACAGTTCTAAAGTCCAATATGACGTTCGATTTCTATTACTTATGTATTTTAATTACAATTATAATTGCATAACATGATAACTTATAATGTTATACGGTTAATAAAATTGTCGATCACGCGTTGCATATGCGTACAACACAAGTATAACGGAACGGACTTGGAATACATGCATAATAATAATTTAAAACCGATACAGTATATTCAAATATTTACGTTACAATAAAGTATCAATGCTGTACGATTTCGTTGATAATTCGTTTTTAATGAGAGCGTCGTAAAAACATAAAACGATTCGGCTGTTTCACTTTGAGATTCGTAAACGACTTTGCGCGCCGCGCGCGCTCGCGCACACACGTCCGTGCAAATAATAATTATAATAATTATCGTATTGTTCGGAGAGCAGTTTATCAGCTGCAGCAGCAGTTGTAATGTAATATATTTCTGGTTATATTATTACTTAATAGGGCGCGATTTATTGCACCGGAGTTAGTTTGTGCGGCGAACATTTATGATTTATACCATTATAATAGGCAGCAGGAGGATGCGCATAGCGGCAAACGCCGACGGTAGGTAAGGTATGCCGTGTAATTGTTACCTCGGAGAGTTTGGAAGTCAATCGCCGGCGTTTCTTTTTAACGGGTCGTAGATATGTATGTAAAATATTTCGACGAGTGTCGGTGACTCGAAACTATTCGGATTTACATTTTTTGTAAATAAAACGACGTCGTTATCCCGAGGTAAACCGCGAAGCGAATGCTAAACCCAACGCGTGTTTTTCTCACGCGATCTAGAGTCTAAATAACTAATAATGATAATTCACAAAAAACCGACGTCAATAGTGTTAAGATTTTTTAGACGTTATCTAGAATTTGTTTTTTTTTCCCGAGGTTGAAGTCTGGAATTTGCGTGAAGTTTAGACTCGGTCCTCTGCGTTTTGAAACGGACTGCTGATTACAGAATCAGATTCGCTTGTAAAACGGTGTCGATCACTTTTTTCTTCTTTTTAAGAACACGCGAGTGCCGATGTGAAATCAAGTAAACGCATCCTACTCGAGTGAACTTCCATAGTTCCGCGTGCTCCTCTTAAGTGTATACCCATGTAAGAGAACTCTATCCGGCTCGATTTATTGTCGTTTTGTTCATAATATACGTCTTAACGTACTTATGGTTTAGTAAACAATAGCATAAAAAAAAAAAAATGTGTTTGAATTATTCAGACGTTTTTATACGCCAGTTTAAAAATTGTTATAATCGTATTATCTGTCCGTGTTAAAATATTATTAATCTTTTTCGTTTAATTAATTTTCTTTCGTCAAAATCGCCAGACGCACGCTGTGCATTTTGTCGTTTGAAAACTTTACCGACTATAATCGCGGAGATTATGTAATATGCGACACAAACCTTTAATTTCCGACTAGATTTCTGAACGGGTTTTTTTTTTTTTTTTTTTTTTCATTGTATTTTACATTGTATTATTCGTGCCTCGCGCGATTTATCTCCGCGCATACGGTTCGATAATCATCTCTCGTTCGCGGTTATTAAACCTACTCGAATGTCTGTTATATACTGTATCAATAATTAAATAAAAAGTTAAGTTTTTTATTATTTTTATTTATTACGATGACGACGTTCGAATAATCGGTATTTTTATGTTATAATAATATAATGGATATGTTTTAAACGAACGAATTATGACGTATGCGCGTGACATTGTAATTATTAGTATACGATTATTTTCTGTTATGTAAACACATAAAAAAAAAAAAGTAGTATTCATGGTCGCGTATTTATTATAATGAACTCTACGGTTTTTTTTTTTTTTCAAAAAAAAATCTATATTTTCTTAGTATAATATTATTGTCGTTCTTAGTATAATACTATAATTATCGTTTGTCGTTGCCGTCGATAATTTGTACTCGTACAATACATTTTACTTCACGTCTTATTATACACTGTCTATCGAATGACGACTCCTGCTATTATACTCGTTTAAATGCATCGCACTCAATCAAAGTACCTATACTGAATATGCGTTTGACACGACTTAGCGCGCGGAACGGCACCATTGCACGTAACAATCATTAACGATTTCGACAGTAATAGGTTTGTTTTTTTTTTTTTTTTATCGTTATTCGAATTGATTACTATTTTTTCTGTATTTAATACGTCTATATAGACCGCAACAGTGTTTCCCAACCTTTTCGCCCGACATTTTAGACTGTTTTACAACGCTTTTTATATTTTTTCTAAATATAGACGACTTAAGACTACCAGAAAAAAAACTCGCTTCGGCCGTCATCAGTAAATTTTAGCGTCTTTTATGAACGGTGTAATGTCGTCTGGTCGGCATTTCGAGGAAGTACTTTTGTTTAATTTTCCTTGTAGTTATCGCAATAATCGGGGATAATGTACGCAATAACGGTTTCTTTTTTGTTTTCGATTTTTTTATTTTCCCTGTGATTCGGTTAACAATAATCGTAAAGACCGAGATTTTCACGGAATACTTCTATTAGCCCTTCGTGGACGCGATAAATATTAAAACTACCGAAAGCACTTATACATAAAAACCGAACGGAGATTACTATTATATACTTAGCGTATTATTTGTATCAATTCGCACGTCATAAAGTAATTTAATCGAATATAAACGCAATGTCTCTAAGAGCGTTTATACCGACGAAAATAAATAACTCGTTTTGGATTTTGTTGAAATCGATTTACGTGATGTGTTGAAACCAAATAATAATATAATATACAATTATAACGGATAGTTCATAGGATCCGTTGCAATTTAATTGGCCAATTTAATTTATTAGATTCTCGTGAAGCACGTTCCGTATAGCGGCAATCTATACACAGTGTAAGTTTACGGTCGCACGAGTGTAATATCATTAATAAGTGACTTACAATTATTATTATTATTTTATAGAGTATGCGCTGTGCAAATATTATATTATATATATATATATATATATATATATATCTTTTAAAAAAAAAAAACCCCTTTTGTATATCGTTGTGAATTTTTAACAAATATTTATTCGAGCGAATCAGTTACTGTGATTAAATGTTCGCAACATATTATTATTGTTTGCTTTAGTAAAAGGTTTGTTAGATGAACGTAACGAATACAAAAGGGCTGTAAAATGCTGCAGCGGTATACACTTAAATATCAATATTTGTACACCGGTCCTGCCCTGTCGAGTTTTTTTTATTTTTTTAAATTTTATTTCACTATTTCATACATAAATTACGGTGAAGTATATGTAGTTGGCATATTATATACTGCAGCGGTTAAACCGATTCGGATAAAATAAATGTCTCTACAGTAAACTACGCGACGTGACTTATTTTTTGTCGAATTTTCCTCGAAAATATATAGACTGTTGCGCCGTATTGTGTCTGTTATTGTATATGATGGTTACATTTTTTTTACCCGCTACATTTGGTCATTCCTAACGGGGCCCTATTGGACCAAATGAGCGGATACTCGAGAATACGAGGTGTATATTGTAAGCGGTCGGAGTGATAAAACTTGGGTAGAATTTCCCTGTGAATTTAATCGTGCGGTTGTGGATGGGCGATGTTTTTTATTAACTATGTATGCCCCTATACAGATCCCTAAATAAAGTCAAGAGATGCGATTTTATGTATCAAGTTATCAACGTGATGTGCCTTTTGGGGATTTAAACTTTCAACCCCCATCCCTATAATTTTTTTCTCCTGTAAGCAGTATAAATATAATTGTATTATTATTATAGTATTCGGTTATTTATAGTTTTACAAATAATATTTCTGTTATACAAATAGGGAAGGAATTCGACTTTGAGTGATAAAGTCCTGCGGCACACGGGTGTTTTTTTTATCTTTCATTACGAGTAAATTGTATATTATTATATAGTATTTAGTAGTATTTTTTTTTCAAATAAAAAAATTAATTTTTACTTATTATTTGTATTTTTTCATACATTCAAAAAAAATATTTCCCTACATAAAATGAAAAGACATTTATTCATATAAATTCATTTAGTAAATTTGTAAATATAAGTGAACAGATTATGTTTAACAATAGATAATGTACTATCCTGGATATATATATATATATATATAAATATGTAAAATTAAAATCCAATCTAAAAGATAATTTGTTTTTCTTCTAAATATCCGAATAGAAAAGAAATAAACATTATCTTAAAAAATACTGAAGATGGTGTAAAGAATTTCAATATTTACTTGTGCCCGGTCCCCAATTCCCGTCCTCGTTTATCTTACATTATTTTGTTGTAATAGTGTTTTTTTTTTTTTAAATAGGGGGAGGGATCCTATATCAAAAGTCACGGTACTATAAGAGCCCTTTGAAGAGGGTTATATTTTTTTTTTTGTAAATTATGAGATTTTCGTATATTCAAGAAAATAATACAATATATTATTGTACTAAAAACATTATATGCATCGTTTTTTATCACTCGAAAAAGATTGTTTGATAAAACCCCCCGCAATTTTCAACGAAATTATGAATTTAATTATAAACTTAAAAAAAAAATCCGTATTTTCCATTATAATAATAAATGTATGCATATTATTGTTTGCGCATTCCAATTTTTAAACAATGTCGTATTATAATAGTTCAAATTCATAGGTATTTTAGATGGATAAATAATCTTACTTTATGTATTAAAAATATACATAATACAACGAAATCACGTGTTTTTTTTAGTAGTTTTCTTTACATTTAATGTCTCGTATTATTATTATTTTTTTAATTTACAAAGTACGATACTTATACTATATTTTAAAAAGTAAACATTTTTTTCATGAAATTTGTCGAAGGTCGATCGTGTGGCGTATAATTTCGGTTACAGTATTATTATCTATTTAATAAAAAAAGAAGTTGGATCGATAATCAACCGCAAAGTGTGTATAATAATATAATAACTCGTGCACCGAGGCCGCCATCTACGAGCCTACTACGCAATTATTATTTAACCCGAACCTGTAATGTCGAACACGCAAATTTAATTTCATATTCCGCGTTGTTGAAATATAATAATTTTTCACTCGATTTGGGTCTTGTAGACCCCTGCGCCGTTTCCCCTACACACGCCCCTCAGTTTACTTCCCCGCCGTCCGCGGCCATATAGATGCCCGGGAGCTCGAAGGGGAGTCTGTATAATTCGCACCTAAATGAAGTTATTATTACGATCATTTGCATCGCTTGCCCCAGGTATTCGCCATATTATCTGTCGTCTATATAAGTCATTATTTCGTGTTATTTCAGTCGAGTAAATATAAAATTACGCTATATGCAATATTATAGGAACACTGCAGCAGTGGAGTAATTAGGATTTTGCTTAAGAAGGTGAAATTTATAATTCGGAACGTTAAGACGAACCTAACGTAACCCGACTCAGCCTTTAACCTTAATGTGTTATCGAACGTGTACGTACACTAATCGAAAGATTATAATCGATTTGAATTCCGGTGCAAACAACAATAATTGCATTATTTATGAATTATTCGTATTTTTTAGCATGGGTACCTGCAGCGACTATGGCACAAATAGCATATTATCTTTATTTCGGTGCACATATTATATGCATCTTATTTATATTTCGGGTCAATTTCGGTACACAAGTTGATTGCACTCGCTTGAAGTCTTCCCTAATTAGGTTATCACTCCGCCTCTATTGTCTCGGGTCTTTTCTCGCCGTCTGGCTTTAGCATTGTGTGACCTCGCCTAGGTATTTGTTTTTGGTCCTTTGCCTCGCCAAACGTGGGGCCGGTCCAGCTTTTAACGTTCTAACAATATAATCATATTCCGTTAAAATCTCTTCGGCTATAGCATCCCCCATTTCCGAATCGGCGAGCGTATATCGTATACGTAAAACATTTACTGTTCTCCCCTCGCACTGTTATAAACTTAATAATATAATATAGGCGTTTACCGGGGCGTTTACTATTACTATACAGTGGTGACATAAATACCGATATAGCGCCTAGGATATCAATATTGCTGATCAAAATTAAAAAACTTGTTTTCTTAATTTGTTCGGGTAAAGTTTACGTGCTCCGTATATAACGCGTTATTTTTTTAGCGTCCTTTCGGTCGTTATTGAACATTCTCCTCGTTAACGGAAAGTGGTTTTTTTCGCCTTTTGATTATATCGTTTTTCCGATAAACATATAAATGTAAGACGAAATCAAAAGTAAAACCGATAAACGAAATTATTAATACATATCCAGTCGGAACGCTTGTTATAATATCGCGCGGCTTTTCGTGTCACAGACCGTGGATAATAACGTGCGTTAACCGAAGTAAATAATGATGACGTCGTGTATTCGAGTCGTGCAAATAATTCCAAGTTTTGCGATTTGTTGGACGTATTTTCTTTGTCGCTTAGAGCTTATATAATTGTTAATGTTCTCGTCTGAAGTGGGATTAAATATCCGTTTGAAAAAAACATATGTTTCGCATTATTTTCGCCGGACGTTAAAACGATCGATCTGTTAAAAAATGTTTAAAAAAAATAACAATAACGATTGGTACGTTTAATGTTTACGTCTATAAATGGTCGTATTTATTTATAAATGCCAATTTGTTACCACATTAACGTATATCTATAATATTATTACAATGGCGTAGTCTGGGGACACTGAGGGGTCTACTGCAGAGCCCCCCGAAATTTTAAAAGAGTTAAACAATTATTTCTACGGTCTACGAGAGTCGCTGCAGGAGTATTAAATTGTATTTAACTGATCCGATTTTAAATTGTTATCTTTATTTCATTAACTTATCTTATTAACGCGTTCATGCAGGACACAACTTTACTAGTTTTCAATATTTGAGTATAGGTATACATCATAGAGTAATATTATTATTTTTTTTTATAATTTTAACTGCACATACTGATGTTTACCCTTCCGTTTGGTTCACGTTGAAATTGCTATAGCCACCCCGGATATGCACTGTTGGGGCCGTCACACATCAATCGAGATGGTACGATATATTTTCGTTACAGGAGATTTTTTTTTATTTCCATCACATTCATAGACTTAATTAGTCTACTTATTTTTACTTTTTAGTCACTAATACGCCAGCGTGATTAAGTATACGTTATAAATATTCAAATTCGCGGAGCCATAAATCGTAGGCGCCTACATCTAAAATAAAACCTCGGTGTCGGCACGCGCTAAACTTATAGACGGCCCAATAATTAATCGACCTTTGTGTACAAAAATGATCAGCCCCGCTCCCAAAGAAAAATACTGGCGACGCCACTTTTTCATAACTTCCGCATTGTTTGCAATATTATATTTTAATGATGATTGTATTCCGTTCTTTTAAAATTATTATTACTTCCCAAGCATAATATTACTTGTCGATAAAACTCGAACCTGAAATAAACATATAATATTAATACTAAAAAACGCATTGTATTAGAGAGAAAATAAAACTTTTTTTATAATATATATATATTATAAAATAATATAATATAATAAATATAAATATATATATATATATATTGTATCTGTTTTGTGTGTCAAAAACACGTGGGCCGATGCAACCGTTATAATACTATTGCAATGGAAATAAACCAGGTAACGTTTTTATCCTTTTTTCCCTTTTTTTTTTTTACCCGACTATATTAAAAAATTTAATAATTTTTATCGATCGGACGGAAAATAAGGCTAGAAGGATAAAAGGCCAAAAAAAAAGCGACAGGCGGCCCCGGGATACAGCGAAGACTGTGGCAAAATACACGGGTTTTAATTTCCGCGATTTCCCTTCATTGTTTTATTATTCGATTATTTCCTCTTAGTCAATTGAAAAGTCAAAATCAAAAAATCATAACCGTGTTCCATTAGTTTAACGTTATTTTTTCCCCGTATTTAGAAGCTGAAAGTTTTTTTTTTTTGTTTTTTGTTTTAAGCATTACATTGAAATGCATACTTATGAACACACTTTTGTACATTGTAGGGTGGATCGAAACTTCTCTTATCTAAACAAAAACTTATTTAGCGCTCTCCCCCGCAAATTAAATATCCTGGGTATGCCACTGAGTCGAGACGTTCGTTTTCATCTATAAATGATGTTCTCGTCCGACCTTGTGTCCAGTCTTGCGGTATATGTATCTTGTAGTCAGGGGTATTTGAAGACAGCAATCACTATTTCGTTTATATATAATATACAACAATAAATAAAGTACAATAATCATTATAATCAGGATTTTAGTAGTAATAAAATATTTAAAAAAAAAAAAAAAAAATTCACATTGTTTTCAATCTCATTACGCGTGCGCGAGTATTCGACGATAACCGAAATTCACGTCTCCGGGTCGGGCGTTATTAGAGAAAAATAATATAAATAGGTATACAAGTAAAATGTGGCGGTCATAAAATAAAAAAAGGACTAAGCCCTCGTGAGAGAGAGTCGCAATAAGCGGCGGTTTCCAGTACCGTAAATAATAGATATTTATGATGATGGCGGATTTATTATTGCCGGCGCACAGCAATTATTCGCTTCTGAGGTAAAAACGCAATAAAAAGATAATGGTAATGATTTAACGAAACTGAGAAGTATGTAACGGAGAGAAAGCGAGAGGGAGAGAGAAAACGAATGTACATAATACAGGGTGTATCCGTGCACGATTGGACAATTTCTTATAGAAAATACACTCTGTATATTCTGAATTCTTTTTTTTTTTGTCTATTTATTCGACCGGTAAAAAAAATCATCCCGTACAGTAGACATTCGAAACAATATCTAATAATAATAATAACGTATATTGTGTACACCTCCAGCACAATGAACACTGTTCATAAGACTCGCGGTTGCTGGTAAACAGGTAGTTAAAAAAAAAAAAAAAACCTGTTGACACACGATAGTTGGTGCCGCCGCCACACATTACGCCGTGGAGTTGACCCTCACGAGAGCCGCGATAATAATAACAATAACAATATTATTATCATCTCTATAAGCATAATACGATAATACGATTTAAAAGTCTTGAATTTTTTCTTCATCGAGTCTCTGGCCGTACAATATTCTCCGGCTAGTTCCGCTCGTGTACAACGGAATATTGTTTTCGTCGACGAAGCGCATAAATAAGCAAACGATTGCAATGTGTGCGGAACGTAATGTTCGCGCATTTGGAGAATCGGCGAAATAAAAAAAATAAGACGAAAATATTAACGCGATTCACGCAAAAACTAAACGGATCGGGCAGTTTTCAGCGAAATTCGCGTTTTGGCGACGTTCCGCGACAAAGGAAACTATGATATTGTTCGCGTATTTTCCAAACCCAATTATTCGCTCGAAAGTACTTATTATAAAACAGTGATTTAACGAAAATTCTGTACAAATTTCGGCCGAAAAAAAAAGGTAATTCCGAACGTGATTTTACAGATCCATATAATAAATAACTGTCGTCTAGAAGAAACGGTAAAATTCAAACCTTTTTTTTTTTTTTTTTTTTATCCCGGTCTAATGTATGTAATATATATAGCTGCATTAATTTTAAAAATCGATTTTATTACAAACGCAATATTTTAAAAACGATTTTTTTTTTTTTTCCCCGAAAAGTTTTGAAAAATTGAGTCGTCATTTTTTCTGCCCGGGTCCCATCAACTATAGCTAACCGGTAGAGCATTATTCTTTTTGATTTTTACGTTTATACCCATAATTTAATGCAAAAATATAAACATACTTCGCACCGCGGGTAGGTCGCTGTTATAAGTGAGAAGTTATTCATTTACGATCATAACGTGATTGAAGTAGACGTGTGTGACGGCGATTTCCTCATGTAAATATTATGTAAAAAGTCGTATTAAATAGTATAATCTAAATGTATACGTGTGGACCTTAACATTTTTAAACTCTTTTTCGGGGTCAGATTTTAAAATTCAAATGAGATCATATATACCGCTATATATTTTTTTTTTTTTTTCAAATATTACGTAAAGATATTTTGTTTTAATGAATTTTAATAGTTGATAAACATACATTTAGTGAACAACTCTTTTCTCGGGAGTGATTTAAAATTATATAAAAGTGTGTATATAGCACACGATACTCATGCACGCGCTTAAACATCACAATAAATGACACCATGAGCTGATAACAAAAGTCGTTTATTGCACGCGTTTGTGCTACACGCTTTCAACCACTCTGTATGTTTTATAAGTCGATAGATTTCTGTAAACGAAAAGCTATTCTGAGCGGAGTTTTTATTTTGTTAAACAATTGTTTACAAAAACTGTTAAGAATCTAGAAAATGTTTTCGAATAAAGTATACCTACCACCATCCAGAAGAAAAATCTCCATCTTACGCCTTTGAAGCACCGGATCATTTACACTTTTACCGACAAATTGTTGTTTTCCGTGGCTGAAAAATCAAATGTCGGTGTATTATGCTATTATATAAGCATAATATACCGATCATGCGCTCAGAATATTGTACAGGTCCATTTGAAATAACATTTTCCCGGGGCACGCCTTACTAAAGCTTTTCCTAATCTACAAATCGGTAAATCACCTCGGACCGATAATATACGACTTCACCGAAAAGTGGTTCGACGAGTTTCCGTTACATCGTTCTTAGATTAGTCGCTCGTAAGTGTTTTTTTTTTTTCTTTTACTTTTTTGTCATCACGCGTTCTTGCGCGCGGGCATAAAAAACGGAGGGTTATTATTAATAAAACTTGTAATTTATAATTTTTTTAGATTAATCGTCGCAATTTAAAACGTTTCTGGCGTGTTCTACGGAAAATAATTAACTATCGTGTATATATTATGTGATAATATTTCGAGAGTCAATAAAGCATTATTCGAAATTAGTATTCGTCGCAGCGCGCGTACGGTTATTGCAGCAGCGAACGTATTATAATGCATTTATTAATATTATTATTTTGAATAAGTGATTTCGTTTTAGTATAATATATATGTTCGAGTGCGTATAGACGTTATATTATATATAGTAATTTTATGTTTTGTTGTTTTGTAACAACTGCGGCGGGAGAACTATTGCCGCGAAAATTTTAGTAAAGAAAAGAAATTTCTCGTCGAGACTGTTAAACGCGAAACAGTTTTTTCTTAAACAATTCAAATTAACGTTGTGGTATACAAAATAATATTTGTATAAAGTTTCTCCGTTATTGTAGTAACGTTCGTGCAACTTCTATACGTATTATATTGTATATATATATTCATAGATTCTGAACGAAACATCGCGGAAATATGTATTGGTTTTACTATATATAATGTGTTGTTTTTCATATTTTCTGGCCGTAAACGATTTTCTACCGGAATGTTTACTCCCGAACATCGCAGTTTTAGTTTTTGTTTGGTTTTGTGCGAATCATAAAACCAATAACCGTGTAGAACTGTGTATTCTGGCCCGGCCGGAATGTTTCAGAATCGAACACGATAGATTGGTCTGAAGTTATAATATTTCGTGGTAAATAAAAGAAAAACCACTATCCGATATTTGAAATCGATATGTTTTACCGAAAGTTTCCGGTCAAACAGGAGCATGGAAAAAAACCACTGCATTTGAAAAATTATGTATAACAGAACATCGTTCTGAATCGTTTTTGGTTAGCAATAGTTAATCGTTGTATACATCATTTATAAATAAAATAACGCTCCCTTTCCCATTTCCCACCTATAACGGCGGTACGTACACTTATCAGCAGTATCAATTATTTATTTTTTATGTTAGCACTTATTATTTATACATAGTTATGCAATTAATTTACCCCCACTGTTTTTTGTAAAAAGTCACATTTTAAATTCCATAAATTAACTAACAGTTTACTGATAAAAAATTAAATATAATAATTGCATTATATTCGTGTAACCGTTTGATTTTTGATAATAAGAGACTGTTTTTCAAAAATTCAAATAAAAATAATAAACCGTAGTTTTTATTATTATTTGAGATAATACTCTGTATATACTTGCTCGTGTATGTTATATTTTATAAACATGGAAAAGGCGTCACATTTTTCTTCTTGGACAATTGATTGTATTTTATATAAATAAATATCTACTGCAGTATTTTAATAATGGCAAAACGACTCTGATCGATAAAAAAACAAAAAAAAATAAATAAACAACATGTAAGTACTTAGTTACACCAAGATAAATATCGTCAGACTTTATTGGAAAGTTTCCAGCAAATAGCTAGTACTGAGCACCAGACATTTTTCTCGGAAACGTTTAAAACCCTCGATTTAGTGATATATATATATATATACAGAGTTAACACTCGAAACGCGTTTTTTTACCGAATGAAAGATTTTATTTAGACTATTTAAAAATTATATAAAAAAAAAAATCTTATAATACTGATAGGCGTATACTGCTACTTTTCTATGTGGGAATTTCGGAAGGTATAGAATACACACAGTTTTTTAATTACTGTCTGAACGTATCGATAAATCGTTGCCAGTTAACGAAATTCTGAACGGAGTTCGGTTAAACATGTTTTGAAAATACTCGAAAATGGCACGTGCTTTATGTTTAATAGCTCGAAAAGATCCATGAAATGTTTTGAAAATTTGACTACGTCTAGGAAAGTATCCTGTGTAGGTAATTTTTTAGTAATTTATTAGTTTATGCAATTCTAACATTAAATGTTATGCGTACGTGTACGAGTCATTGTACAAGTCTCCCATGCATTATGGACTTATAGTTTGGGATGGATGTGCAGATAATGGAATAAAATCACTATTAATGCAAAGGAACTTAACTGTTAGATTACATCATCAAACTACAAATATTTTAAAGTACTGCCAGTTAGGGATCTGTATAAGTTATCTGCTACTTTATTGGTCTCCAACACTCATACTTTATCTAAACAAGTTAATAAAAGAGATTTTATAGCATATGACACAAATGTACGATACACAAATAAAGAATTTAGTAAGAAATTTGTAGATTACCTAGGTCCTATTTTTTACAACTCGTTACCATTGAATTTAAAAAAAAGTATTGTTAATTGTAAAGCGTTGAATAATAATAGTATGTACGCCAAGAAAATTATTAAATTTTGGTTATTAAATTAATTACTTTAATTTTAGTGTGTGTTATAGATAATTTTAAAGTTTATGTTTTTATTTTGTACTTGTTACATTTAAGTTATATTTCTTATTTTCCTGCAGTTTATTCCATAAGTTTAAAACTTGATTTTTTTTTGTCTAGTTATTATTTCTTTTGTAACTCTTTTGCCCCACCACAAGCAATGCTTATTGGGGTCGAAATAATCATAAAGTAGTTTTTCGTTGTAAACTGTACTGTTTGTTAGTAAACTTTTTGTTTTGATTAAAAAAAAAAAAAAAAATTTACGTCTCTATTACGATCACTTATTCGCCGAATTACATCACAAACACAACATTTAATATGATAAAACTTTTATCGAAGTAAATTAGTTCTGTTTTCTGTTTAAATAGGAATGTACGGTTTTTCTCGATTTTCACAACTATAATAAAAAATACTCGGAAAATTAAAACATGACCTCCCAAACGCATCAACTAGTTTCAAAATGCTACAGATCTCCTTTCGGCTTTTTTAAAAAAAATATTTCTATTTTTTATTGTATTTAAATATTTCGCCGAATGTTTCGTAATGAAAACCGTATTGCTTTTTGAAATAATCATGGCTAATCATGATTCTAGGATATCTATAGGAAGAGGTTTTTCTTGGTATAATATCACAAAAAATTGACGAAAACTGACATAATATCAATGTAATAGTATTCCACACACGTAGTTCAGTTTTTTTATTCGTAAACTTCCCCGATATTTTTTTTTTCTGTGTTCGTGCCTGATCGTTATCATATATTATCAGAGTACTATCGCTTAATGTAAACAATCCGCCCGATTCCGATTACCGATATATTTACGGACATGGCTGCAAAATACAAATTCTATTGACCTGACATAATTACAACGATAAGCAGACGAAAACGTATTTTAGAAAAATCAAAAGTGTCAATAATTAAACGATTATTTTACGATCGTAAATTTTAATGAAATGCATTTTTAAACTCTGGTTTAAAAATAATCTCGCATAGTATAAATGCTAAAATAGGTTTCTGCGACTTAAGGTAATGTGACATTTGAATAATGTATAATTATGTCTTTGGTTAGCAATTTAGACGGATTTTCCCGTAACCGATTGATATATTATAGGATAACGATTACAAGTTCCTGGTTTTTCTCTGTACCTATATGACAAAAAGTCGTGGAAAAGGGACGGTAAAAAAGCAATAACTCATTCATTCAGTAATAATAATAACAACATGTATTCGAATAATTTTAAGGCGTACATATTTTTTTTTTTTTTTATATAGTACCTGTATACATTGTATGGGGTACAAACACGAATCCGTATCCTACATTAGCGCGTTTTCCGGCGCTCGATTTAACCGTGACCGTGGTCGTGTGTTACTAAATCATAACCGCGACCGTGGTCATAGTTCATAATAATAACATATATTATAATGCGGTGTTCGGACGATGACGGGTTTGTGAAAAAATTTCAGCCGCCGGTCAAACGGGTCCCGTCCTCGGTAGTTCAGACGACAGTGCCGTTTATATCAACAATAGTTCAGTGTGTGCCGGGAAGCCGTTACGACCGTTACGAGTGCGTCCTATGCGTAGTTTTTTTTTTTTTTTTTTTTTTTTTTATAGTTTATGTATTTGTTTAGTTCGTATTTGTTATTATTATTTTTTTTAGGTTTTTTTTTTTTCGTTTACCGTGTGAAAGTGGACAATATTATAGCGAAATGGAAATCGAATTGAAAATACTTAACGCGCCGTCGCGATAATCGGTTTCTCGAGAGCAGTGGCCGCGGAAATTCCGAAATATCGGCCAATGTTGTAGGTTTTGGTGAGTACATTGAACACTTCCTTTCCCCCCCCCCCCCCCCCNCCCCCCCCCGAAAATCTAAAAACGGTCCTCATACGTAGGTACTTTATAATTAATTACTTGAGTACTTCGAGATATTATTCATACAGTTGTATTATTTTTCATGACATTTACATGTAAACAAAAAACTTTTTGTGTGACGTGAGTTTAGGCAATTTTCGTCCATCTGTCAGAGTTTTCGTTATCGCTGCGCTATTGTTAATACGTTTATTAATTTTTAAATGTGCACGTTTTCACAATGGAGTTTGTGTTTATGACGATATAATATTGTGTATAATCGGATACGTCCCAATATAAAAATGGATAGACAGTTTGTAATCAGACATGCATGTATAGAGACGGGGTTTGGGGTTTAACTCTTTCAAAATTTGAAAGAAAAACCACATCATATACTAGTATATTGTATGGCCAAAAGTGTTTTTTTTACGTGTGAACCTCCCCCGAACACCTAACGCTTCCGACGTATTCGTTCTGTGCACGTGCCTGACAATAACCAGCCATATATTATCACGTAAGTAATGTAAAAAAATCGACCGATTCCGATTACCGATATATCTACGGATATTTCTGCAAAATACGAACTCTACTGACCTAAAATTCTATACGATTACAAAACGTATTTCAAAAAAACTAGAAATGTTAATAAATAAACGTTTTTATAGTCGTAAATTAATCGAACGCATTTTAAATTCGGATTATAAACAAATCTTTTAAAGTAAAAGTTAAGATTTACTTTCTGTTACTTAAGGGAATTGGATACGTGGATAATTTATTTTTCGTACAACAATTCAGATCGATTTTCTTGCAACCGGACCACTCTTATAGTGAATGAAGCGATTAAAAATTCTGAAAACAGATTTGAATTCAGCGTAAAGTGTATTATATTATGATCAGACATTCAGGTCACATTTTTTTTTTTTTCAATTGAATTATAGTTTTTTTTTTTTTTTCAATAAACGTTCAAATCTTTGAAAATAATTAACGATTGAAATTTTAAAAAAGCGGCCCGTCCAATGTGCTAATTTCACTATGAAATCAAATCTGTTTTCAGAATTATTCATATCACTTCGTTACAAAAAACTAGAAATAAAATACCCGTCCACTCCCCTTAAAGTTTATTATTGGATCCCGAGTGACCGTTCTATGCCATATTTTTACCGTTGTCGACTGTTGTTTGCGTATAGATATTCCGACCGCAGGTATACCTAATTATTTAAACGTATTTTCGAGATTAAATCGCGACAATAATAATATTATTATACTTCTTTGTCGTTGTTTTCGCAAAAAAAAAAAATAATAATAATAAAAAAAGAAAACGATTTTCATTCGCGGGGGTCTCCGATACGGCGAATAGCGATTTAATAATAATTCGGTTTTCGATTACTGCGCGATATTTCTTCGATGTTGGGTGGTCAGATATTATTGTAAAAAAAAAAAAAAAAAATTGTGAAAGTAATCGCGTTCGCCGTTGCAGGAATAAAAAAAATAATAAAACGTTCTAATGTTATAACGACGATCCGCGCGTTAATTCGTAAATATTACCCCGAAGACGGTAGCGCGGATAGCATTTATTTTAATCGCGATTTCTCCTCGCAACGAGGTTCGTCGTTCTATAAAAAAAATAATTCGTCCGGCGTGAAAATTGTTTAAAACGTGAAACGTGCACAGGAACGGAGCAACCATCGAACGCGCCCCCCTCCTATTTGAATTCCAATTTATGAAAACTCAAAGCTCAACGATTTTTACTATATATAGACAAAATCAAATGCGTGTTTTAGTTATGTCGCGTCTCACTATTAGATTCCCTAAATTTCAAATTTATTGTTTGTCAATATCTTTTTGACGTAACGTTTTATAGGTTTTCAGGATATGTTCGTGCCCGAGGCACAGGCACAACTCGATCCTCCCTTTCCTACGGCCAAAAATTGCATGTAAAAAACCACGCGGAATTACTTGTAAATACATTTTTATTATTATTATTATAAAAGAATATTTACAATCTATACTTCGAGATATAATAAGCCGACACAACATATATATATGTATACACAAAGGAAAGAATACAACTTGACAACATAAGAGGAGGGAGGCCATTCATTGATGTAACCCGACCAATCGAATTAAATTATCATACGCGTACAAATGTAAAAATATGTTCTATGTCGGTCTTCTTTTTATTTTTTTATAAGTATATTGTATATTTTTCTTGTTCGTATTATGTTGTTTTCGACTGTCTATAACCGCCAACATAAGTATGTGCTTAAATGAGCTGGATTTCTATATATGATTGTATATTTTAGAATCGTGTTAAATTACATAATATATTTGTTCGTTTTCAATCAGAAAAAAAATATACTAAGTATTCGAATTAAATATACACTAACGCGCGTTGTCTGGTAAATCGTAATTCAAACGGCCACTACACTATAGCCAGGACTCTGCTCCGACGGTCTGCAATGACCATACTCGAGGAATATTTCTTTTTTTTTTTCATCGTAAAATTATTTATTATTTTGGCTCGTATTTCAAATCTATTTACCGGTATTTGTATTTGTTGCGTGTGTGTCTATACGATTTGTTTTTCCTCGACAAATTCAATTGTTTAAATACGATTCAATCATCGTCGTCTCTGCGACACGTATAGGATTTCCCGCCTAGCGAACGTATGTTTTCGTACGGATATTTTTTTCAGTCGAAAAATGTAAAAAAAAAAATATATATATGTATTTATTTTAATTTCTCAAAAGAACGACTGTCGAGTGAATTTGATGTTATTGTCACGACACACGAGTATACGTATATATTCGGCCTAGATATACAGAAAGGTACATGTGTTTCAATAACGTTTTAGAAAAAAGACGAACGGCACAAATAGATGCAGATAATTAAAAAAAAAAAAAAATTCCGTGTGCGTATCAAACAAAAAGATAAATGTTATCTTGATTGTTGTATTCGGTTTACCGGTTAAATTTCGACGAATATATTAATAGTGTATACAAATAGCGAGCAATTATCGAACGATTATCGAATTTTCCGGGAATCGTCTCACAATTTCAATAATATTTCGCAAAACATAATGTTGATATTACAATATTATTACTAGGACACGGATGTTGTTTCATTCCCAACTTTTTTTCTATCTTTTTATTTTATCGCTAAGTAAGTCTTAAATATACGTTTAATGTGTGTACGGATTTAAATCTAGTAGTTTTAAGCGCGATCGTTTGCAATTTTGTTGAATTTACACATTTATTCAACTATCTTAGCTATTTTCGACACTCGACAGTCGTATAGATAAAATTATACTATAATCGCCAGCCATAAAATCTTATGTTGATGTCTTATTTTTATTTTGATAATTTCAAGTTGGTAAGTGTGTTCAATACAATACAAAAATAGTTTTGTAAAATGTGACTGTTTGACTGTTTTATATTAATCTGTTTGTTATTCGGGTCACTCCGTGAATTTTGAACGATTATGTTTTGTGATTGTTTTGTAAATATGCCGAAAATTAAGCCAGCTATTTCCACTATTGTAAAAAAAAAATTGTTATTTTTTAGTGCAATACTGCAATACATTTTACTAGTTTTTTACTACTACAACATCCGCGCATCATCTAATCATTATTATCCGAAGACACGTCGGAGGCGCAGAGTGCACGCAGGTGTGCCACGACCCTTGGGCTCAAAACGACATTTACATCTATTGTAGACTTTGTTTAATAAAATGCTAACCTCCGTTAGGTACGGTTAACAGTTGTCATTAAGTAACCGATAAATAACCGACCCACCGGCAACCACTAAATGCGATATTACTGCCTTAGGTTCGAGGTTTATCGCGTCATAGTGATAATGTTAATCATTTTATTAAATTTGAAACGATGACATAATAATTTATTTGCATGAAAAAATATCTGATAATTTTGCTTTACGGTTATCCGTATGCGTCGATATGGTTATTTTAATAATGTTTTTCTGAAACACGACTACCTATATGTAGCTATAGGTAGTAAACTGCAGTCTGATGACATTTAATAAATTAATATTTCGCCTATTTTGCCGTCTTTTTTTTTTTTTTTCGTAATGTAAAATCCGTTTTTTTTTCGGGCGAGTAGAGTTCTCTTTTGCGTGCCATACTGGAGGTATGGCACGCAAAAGAGCCCCTTACGTACGCCTATATGCTCGAAATAATCGGTCCCGGGAAAGCTCGCAAATATCAAATTACGTCTATGTAGGTATCATTGCCGGTGCAGTTATAATACAATAACAATATCCCGCATCCGTGTAGAACACCGCCACCGTACCGGTGCAAATTAATACGAATTTAACCGCATTTCTCGTCTGCGTCGTATGCGTAGGTATAGCGGTACTTTTCCGCGGCTACACCTTATTATTAAAAACACATTTTCTTCGCGTGTACTCGGCGTGACGTTCGTCGAATCCGCCTAAACGACAAATCACAAATCCAATAATCGATGTTTCTCGACGTAAATTGATGTATTTTTCGTGCCAGACTTCTCGTCTTGTGGTATAATTATTTTTCACACGGTTCCGGCGTACAAACCGAATATATAGTAAAGGTATACGAATATTATTTACGCGATGGTATTATAGGTATAATAATACTAAATTCTGTTATTGGGTTTTTTTTTTTCTATGTTAGAAAGTGAAGCATTCATATACACCGGTTTGTAATTCGCGACCACCTAAATATACGTAAAAATTGTCCTCTTGTATCCAGTAGCGGTTTTTGAACTTTTTTCTGGAGGTTGGGAGAGATCCTTTGATATCAACTCACAATATGTTTAACGTACAACAAATATTTACCCGATACTTATTAATTTATTAACTAATGTATTATTTGTTTACTTATCTACATGAATGTATACCTATGTTGTTTCCATCAACAACAAAGTTTAAATTTAATTTAAAAATTATAACACAAAATTTACTTTTCGTTATCTAAACATTGAATCTGGGGATGTTGGTTAGACTCCCTGGACCCCCTCACCGTTAAACAGCCGCTGTCCCTATCATAATATAATAGTTTGTACTTGAGGGACGGGAAGGGTGTCATTGAACTATTGGGTTTTGATACGACGTATACATTTTAAATTTCAATAAAAAATCGATTTTTCAAATTACTAAATCATTTTAGTCAATTTTTGCCCGACGGCGAGCGACGATTTAATTTAAACTTCCATCCATTTGTATTCAGGCTTACCTGCAGTACTTACATTTATTTTTAGAAATCAAATATCCGCTTGCGACAAACGTTTGTCGTTTGTTCGTACGTCTATATGTATGTAGATAATAATATATAGGTTGGTGTACGCTATTTAATGTAAACCGGTAATTCGAGTTTCCCTGCGATTTTATTATATTAAACGGCGCGCTCCGCAGCTGATACATGAAAAATCGGCTAAAGGTACGAGTATTTTTTATTATTATTATTACTTCTTTTTTTTTTTTATTGTTCTATACTCGACTCGTGTATAAAAATATAAAATAAATCGTATACATCAGTGCCGACCGCGCGATACGTTTGAATCGCATTATCTTATTTTAAATTCAGAAAACGATCTGTGATGTGGATAAAATAAACGTGAACGTACAACGAAACGAACACGCATATTGTATTCATAATATACATGCATGGTATATGCATTACAAATACGAATATAGTCGAATAATTTTATACGACTTTCGCATGATATTATATCGATTTAATTATTCTGTACCGCCGAAATTATTTAAATATATTTTTAACAACGCTCCTAACTAACGAAGGTATATCTACACCGATTTTGAAAGAAAAAAAAAATATAGGTATAAAAAAATTCTCGTCAGTTTTCACGACATATTTTATGCATTAAATTCGTCGATTGTAATCGATCCGTATCTATCACAGACCTATTATAATTAATAACTAATGGACTGCGTCTCGACTGTACTTGAGTACAAATTAGTCATAATGTAGTATATTATATTATATACTCCGATCGCACCTATATTATTATAGTACAAGCTTTGCCCGTGCACGGTATTAAAAACGCGTCTCCTCGTGACTCTCCGTTCCCATCCCGTATACTTATCGCAGTTAACCGTTATTGCCCGGCAATTTGTTTTGTTTTTTTTTTTTTTAAGATACTTCTTTGTCCGTGAAAACCAAATTAACTAATAATAATTGTTTTGTTTTTTTCATCCGTATCGCCCAATTACCAATAAATCAACAAAAACAGTGCGATTTAGCCATCGTTTAGAAGTTGAATATGAGGGGGGGGGAGAGTAGCCTATATAATATTGCAGATACAATCATTGTGAAGATTAAACGCTTATTGCGTATATATTGTTATAATATCAATTACTAATAAAAGATATTATGCCGATTAGAGAGAGAGACAGTTACTAATTACTCGTCATCACCATAATTCTAACAGAAATGTTGGATTAGAGCCTATAGTACCTACAGATGTACATTCAATTGCCGTCTATATCCTAACTTCCCAGCTTCTCGCCTAAAACAGTGACTGCACGTGGGTACGTGCGAAGTATGTCAGTCTTTTTTAAATTTTTAAATAGTTGGCTTTTTTATCTAAATACTAAATTAGAAACCACAAATCTCTATAAATGGCATTATTATTTAAGTATAGTTATAAAATTAACCATAAGCAAAGTTAAAATGTTGTTGCCCATGGGCGTCAAAATCATAATACGGCCCTTTAAACACCTGTTTAGATATTTTAATACGTTAAATTTATGGTATATAATTATTGTGCAACGCAGTTTATACAAATTTAACTTACATTACCATGGTATTCGATGGTATATGGAGAGTCACTACAATAAAATAAAAATATTGTTTTCCATTTGTACGTTTTTTCTGCACTGAATATAAAACTATTAAATTCATTTGAAATTCTTAATGTTCTATATATACGTGTACGTGTTTGGAAATCTAAAAATATTTGAATAATACAGTTTTTTTTTTTAATTGGTTTTTTTTTTTCTTAAGCAGTAGATTTTTACGAGCGATGATAATATTTTAACACTGCTATTATTACAGTGAAAGCTTGAGCATTTACTTGGAATATTTTAACCATCTCCATAGCGATTATAAAAGAAATATTCCTAGTATACATTTCTATACGAGTTGCTCGACTCCTGTTTGTAATTTTGTATGTACTAAGGATGATGATTCTTTGAATGGTAGCTTTTAAAAATGCACCCGTTATTTTACGTTTACTTTCATAGAAAATGAACAAATCTATTTTTTTCCAATCGCTTTAACAAAAATAATAAATTTACGTGAAAGCCTCTCACGCTACTTGTACCTAAATATGATAATCATAATATTTTAAAAACCTAAGAAATTCCAAAATAACAACGCTCGTCCGACCGAAAAGTAAACCTTTCAACGTTGTTTTAATACCTACCCCATGTTATACAACACAGAATGTTATCGAATATTCACGTTGATGCTTTTTTCGTGTATCGTGTTTGTAATCGCGTGATGTATAAAACGGATTGCGAGTACTTAAAATTATATTTATCTTGCCGAAAACGTAAAACATTTCATAATTTTATACAGTTTATACGCAGACATGAACGTCCCCTCGCAAAAGGGAGGGTTGGATTTGTCAGGTAAATCCATCCTTTGGCCGCTTTTTTTCTTTTTCTTTTTTTTTTTTACTACACTGTACAGCTATTAATTTTACAGTGATATGGTTTTTTTTGACAGTAAATATGAATAACATTTTTCATGTAGCTATTTATGGTTTTTATACACATATGTATATAATATTTATGTATGTATAAATAGAGAATTATCGTACATAGATAATGGTATTTTATAAGAGCAGTTTTTTTTCCATTTCGAATAAAACGTTTTCTTTACTTACGTGCAATATATTTTATATTTTAAATCAAGTGCATCAAAAATCACTGCTATATTATGCGCGTTTATTACCCACTGTTCGACCCTACAGTGCAATTTGATCATCAGCACTACTCGAGGAAATTAACTTTAGGTGTAGTGAACCCTCTTATGTTCTAAATTAACAACCCACTCGAAAATTAGCTAAATTTATATGTAAATTTCTCGTTCAAAGTTCCTACTATCTGTATGTGGAGCGAATAAGAGTAAAGTGGTCATATATATATATGAGTTTTCTCCGCTGTGTGGCGCTGCAATCACGTGGGAACCGGACATAGTGGTGGTACTGTAGATGTAAAATTTCCAGATACTGGCCATTTTATCCGACCAAAATAGACAGATAAAAATAGATAATGTGGCTACTTTTTTGTTTTATTTTTATGCCCGAAATTAACATATTAAAATCAAACATATTTAAAAAAATTAAAAAAATAGTTTATTCAATTTAAGAGGTTATAGGTTGCTATTTGTATATTATTGTATAACTTTTTTGATTAAAAAGTGTATACAAATTCGTTGAACCGTAAGTTGGCCATTTTATCCATCCTTCTCATACCTACCTATCGGTTTTATTTAATCTAAGTTCCTTTGCGCGTCCCTTCTTCACAAGTTTATAGTATCTCCACTTTTATAAAGTATATTTTGATCGAGTGTGTGCATAAATTATTGTTGTATAATAATTTATAATTTATAATGTTGTCTATACAAGTTGAAGTGGTATTTTTTTTATTAGAATATACTTTATACTAACATCCATTCTTATCACAGACAATAATGTAGTGTAAAACATACTACAATATGGACAGTTTTTTTGTTAGACGGGGATATTATAGCCGGAACGCTTGGTTTCACTTTGCTAACATCGTAATATTATCATATCCGTCTATTCCCCTTCCCATTAAAAATTTCTAAGAACCTCTGCATACAGATGTAATACAGACTCGTTTAATATTTAAAATAGAGACATCAAAACTCGCGATGAACGTCGTTTCATGGTCTAGTAAATTGACAGGGTACAATTTTAGTATCATGTGATGCTGATGCTTGGCAACAATATGTAATTATACGGAATAAAAAATAAATTATCTTCTCGGTTTTCGTACATAGGTAGACAGGTATGTAGGTTTTAGTACGAGCAAGTTATAAATAAATCCTCTCGGATGTCGGACGACATTATACGAATTTGAAATACCACTCGGACACGAGTTTCTCGCTCAAAGACATTATTTTTAATAATTAACATTGTTGTTTTTTTTTTTTTTTACTTCAGATTTAAATAATTATACAACCGGACAGCATTTATGATAATTTTACTTATACCTATGTGCGTGTTACATGTATTGATATAAAGTAAATTTAATGATGAATTTAAAAAAAAAAACTGACCCTATATGTTTTAGGTATGCGCATAATGCATCGAACATTAATATTCGGTTTAAATATACATGTATATAAACTTAACATATCTCGGACAGTTTAAACGCTTTGTGTTTGTAATTTATAATATATGTATGTGTATAATTTTTAATTATAAAAGTTAATGCGTAATCAAAAAGTTATATTAGTTTTAGTGTGTTGTTTTTTTATCTTAGTAAAAACGCTCACATTTTTTTTACACAATACCTTAAACGATACAGATTTTCCGCCCGGTTTTACTTTATTTGTAAATGCTTCTCGACACGTTATTGTCTAAACAATTTAATATCACTATATGTATCCTACCTCCCCTGCGCTCAACATACAATCACTGACACATTCGTCTGCAATATCCGCCATTAAAAAAAAAAATAATAATAATAATAATAATATTATAATGGCTGCCTTGTGGAATTTTAGTATTTGATGGTTATAACATTATTAATATTATTGTTAGGTACGTGTTATATAAATTATTGTAAATATATTATACGTGTTTCGTCTCCTTAAATAAAAAAAAAAAAAAAACATCATTTTTATAATACGAAATTCCCCTGTCGTGTATATATATGTACAAGGGTCGTAATAGTAGTACGCGGCGATGGTGTGGGTAGTGTCAAAAACGTGAAAAAGAGCAAAAACGAGTGGCGAATAATAACAATAATAATAAGAAAGAAAAACGCGTAACAATATAAACGATGTTGATAATAATAATGATAATATAATACGTATTATAATTATTATTATTATTATTTATAAATCATTATGATGATGTATTATTATATAGTTGCAATGTACCCATTGTGGCCGTGCCATTAAATTGTATAATAATAAATTAATGAAAGTTATTGTTATCGTACCGCCGGGCATAGACACCGCGGCGCGGGTGCACTGCTGCTGCAGACTAAGCTTTCCGGTCCGAAACAATTTGCGCGGAGCTCCTTATTTTATCTCGGCGCGCGATTCAAAAATATCATCCCTGGGGAGCGGCAGGAGGAATATCCGTCACACACACAGACACCCACACACGCACATAACCCCATAGACCTCTTAAAATAATTGCACGTTACAATAATGCAATATCGCAGTGTTGTTCCAAAAAATTTATTTTTCCGAGTTCGGTTCTGCAAGCCGAAATGTAACACTGCAGAGTAGTTTTAGTTAGTTTTAGAAGGTTTCACCCCAAAAGGAATTGTTGTTTAAAACCCCCGATATATGCTCCAGGGACGTTTTGGTGCCCCGAATGAAAACCTAAAACCTACTGCCTATTGGCCGTCGCGGGTTTAGATAAAGCAGAGAAGAATTTTCAAAACTTAACTTTCCCGTTGGTTCACGAACCTGATACTGCTCTAAAAAATTTGCTAGTTATAGCACGTCCTAATTGCAGTACTCGAATTGGGAGGACGAAGCAGGCATGGAAACAGTCTACTTCCATTTTTCTGAATTTTTCTGAATTTTTCTTCTGCTTTCGATTTCATTTTTTCATAGAATTTTACGTACCGCTTAATTTAAATAACCCGGGAACGATTTTGTTGAAGTGTCTGCGTTTAATTGTACAATTCAACTGTTTATTCAAGTGTTGTCCAAAATTAAAATTCGGGTTTTGATCTGGAACTGAGGAGAAAAAAAAGCCAACAAATTAAAAAACGTTCCATATCGGTAACCTATGTATTTTCCTATTATTTTTTTTCCTCCAGATACAAAACTAGACTAACCTAAATACATTAGTTTTTTTTTTTTTTATAATGCATGCTTGGTGGTTTTGTTTTTTAAACTACTTAATATGTGTGCTGATCACTGTAACGTCTATCAAAACGATACGGTATCTAAACTAAAACCAACGTCCGTCATCATTCCCCCTCCCTCTCCAAATCGAAAAACCTTGAACCTATAGACGATGTAAAACCTCGACGGATCGCGTATTTACATACTGGTCAAATTCATATACGGTCTATAAATACGCTTCCAAAATATTCGAGTATATATCACGGATAAACTAATGAGTAGATCTAAAGTTGTAGTAGCCCAAGAATTATGGCCGAGAGGACGAATTCTATCTGATTGTGTAGTAATATATTAATATATAGAAACAATTTGCGTTTTATTTCATATATTTTCTATAGAATACTATAAGATGTCCTTATCACATATTATATTTATCTCGTAGGTAATTCATGGCATAAACGAGTATATTTTCTTCACGGGGTAATCAATTATTATTACAATTTACGCTTTCTTATAGTATTTGCAAATTTGTCGATAATAATAACCCCGGCAACTATTTCCCCTTATAACTGTAATCGCCAATCGGTTACAAAATAATAAAATTCGTTTCACCGCGGTCACACTGGTTACAAATCGCGGTCATACAATGTTGGTAACCATTGCGGATGGATGGTGACGATCGGTGACTTTCCGTCATTCTCTCCAGAATTATTACTTCTCTATAACTTCTCCATTACTTCTCTTTGACAACCCGTCTGTAGTTATCTCTTCACGATCACGATGCCAAACAATGAATTTAACTTAATTTCGAAAATTTCGTTTTCAATGTTTGGTTTTTAAGAAGACCGTAAGTCATAAAAAGGGCCAATATTTTCATGCATTTGCATATTTTTATTGTTCGGTCTTAGAAATAACTAGTGCATACCAAAATGGGTTTCAATGGGTTACAAAAATGTATTTTGCGTATTTTGACGTTTTACGATTTTTAGCACATATTTTAAAGGTATCGTAAATTTTTAAGAAATTTAAAACTCGACAAATTAAGAATCACGAGAAAAAAGCCGTTCAAGATATTTTATAAATTTAAATGTACCCGTTTTTCAAATATGTATGTATTGATTTGTTATGGGTTATTCAATTTATCAATTGTGAGATGAGGTTAGATTAGAATATCTTGTCTATGTATTTTATCGTACCTATATACTCGTATTATGCGTGTGCGGTGTGCTAAATCGATCGATGTTTTATTCTTTTTTAGAGCATATTTTAGTAATTTTTATAGCAAAACTGCGTAATAATTTTAAGAAGGTTTTCAGGGCATATATCGGTCGGCCCTAGTCCTAATAAGCTACGGGGCAGGTTTAAAACGAATTCATTCATCGTCACTGGTCACTATACAGGTTTATAACCGTATACCAAAACTTTGTTCGTTATCAATTCGCCGGCGTGACTCTTTACGGATTTCCGGATTTGCTGGTTTCATAATGCCTCTTGTCCATGAGCGTCCCCCGAAATCTCCTCTAGCCCATCTCAACATTTCTTACAGCTTCCCTAGAAATGAACACGCAGTAAAAGGTTTTCTCGGTTCTTTTTTTTTTTTTTGGTTTGAACAAATTTACGGAACAAGTGCGGTTTAGCTCCCTTAATCTCACACTACGCCTACGATTTTTTCGTATACAATCATTTTATACGTATCGTCTGTGTACACTCATTGCGCCGTCGCCATAATATGCTTCGGTCCTTTTTTTTTTTAATTTATCTCCGATTACATTTCCTCGTTTCCCGGAGAACGTATTGCATATGTGTATACCGGATTGCAGGTATAAGTACGAGTTAATCGCATCACGAGTCGTGACTATACATATAAAATAAACAAATGCTAAACATTTTTTTTTTTTTTTTATATATGTATAAACGAATCAATTTACACGGTACAATACTATTATGACACACGCGGTAAACGCAAAGTATTCGTGTAGGTAGATCTATAACAGGCAGTGAGTGATTACGAGTTTTCCGAGGAAATTTTTTCTTTCTTTTTTTTTTTTATAGTAGTAAAAAAAAAAAGGATGATTACAGCTGATTTATTATTATTCTACATGTCGGTTGTGTACACGTAAACTGTTTAAATACACATACCCGTCACACATTATAATATTATTATGTAGGTAGGTAAAAATGTAGTATTGTAGTATCATATTATCTATATATAATTGGATTAGTCATACGTTAAAAAAAAAAAAAAATTTAAAAACACGATAAATATAATATATACATGGAGTAATTAAAAACGTTTTCAATGTATATTGTTACCGAGTCTAAGCTAGTCTCTTTTTTTTTTTTTTTTTTTTATTTTTTTTTTTTTTAAAAAACTTTTAAAAGTCATATTTAAAACGTACATATACGTACATTGTTTAACAAATACGCCGCGACTATACCTACAACACCACACTACGCAATATTGTAATGTGTGTGTAATTAATTCGGTTTTTTTTTTCACACTTCGCCTACGTCGCGTCTTATAATATCGTCAAAGAAAAAAAAAACCAAACTACCTACGTTATGTCAATTTTTTTGTTTTGTTTTACGGAAACCATAACATAATAATAATAACAATAGTAGCGTTACGTATTTCGACGGTATATACTCGTAATAATATAATAAAAACTCGAGGTATTTAATTTTGCACTTTTGGTTTTTATTTTTATTTTTATTAACATTTTTTTTTTTTCCTTTTTTGTAATTCCCTCGTTTTTTAATCGCTATTTCGCGTTCGTCGACATTTGCATAATATTCTACACTTTCTCTCCTCTGCTCTGCCAAAGTAGATTATATTATAAATATTATTCGATAGAAATTATTATAATATAATATTATCTTGACTTATTAAGCTCTCCCTTGTATTATTCTTTCTGACAAACCCAATTACGTAAGATATTTCACGGATTATTATAATTTTTTTTTGTTCTATCTCGACTTTTATATAGCAGGTTTAAGTTGTAGAGTGTTTGAATAGAGAAGAAAAAAATCTTCAGATTTCGGAAATATTGTGCGGTTTTAAACCCTTTAAACAATATTTCGTAATATTATTGTATATCCTATAAATATGTAATACGCGTTTATTTGTGTACACTATACGAAATATTCATAAAATACACTCGGTATACGTATATATAATATGTATAGGTGAAGTTTAATATAATTTGTTTTTGTTTTCTTTCATAGTTTTTTGATATTATATTATAATATTATACTGTTTCGTATAATATTCCGTTATTATTTTTGAACGTTTGAAATGCTACGTATACTATAAGCAATATTATATCGTAAATGTATTATATTATCTATATTATATATTTATACGTATACAGCTATATTCCGGGTTTATTTTGTCGTTGAACATATTATAGTATACGTAGATACATAATATTTATTTGTATAACAAAAAAAAATATGAAAAAAATAATAGTTTCTAGTTTTTTCGCCGCGAAAAGTGCTCAAGGGAATGTTCTGTATATTATTATGTATAAAATGCACAATAGACGCAATTGTATATAGTGTACCTCCTCCCCCCCCCCGCCGTGTATAATATTCAAAACTTCTTCGAAAAAATGAGTTATTTTAAATCGTTATTGTGAAAAAAAAAAAAAATAGAAAAAACGCATTTAAATGCTGCACATGCGTTTGTCGTCTCCGTCTGACAATCGTAACGACGACGTAGCAAATTCGTGTTCGGCAAAGCAAAACCAATTTTGTGCTATTCGTTTTACATTATTAGAATGAATTGACCCGTTCATCAGACTTACGGGCAAGACAATATATGATCTGTACTTGTACGTTGAGTTTTTTTTCGTTATTTTATTTCTTTACCGAACTACGAGTGTGTGTGTTGTGTGTGAAAAGTTCCACGAAATACATAGACATTTCGCTCGAGATTAAAATATCAAAAAATAAAAACTTACGTGCTTGTCTTACTTTTAACTTTTAAATTTTACTACAATGGCCTAGGTATATTCGTTGTAATATTTGAACTTAAAGCACAAAATTGGCTTTGCCGAATGCGAATTTTCCGTATCGTACAGCGAACACAACAAGTGCATGAAGTGTAGTAGCGTCCCCTTAAGTAAAGTTTTCCATCCTATTATTAGTACAATCGTCTATACACGGATTGAAAGTGAACATAATTTTTCTTTTAATTCCGTACTGTTTCTGAAAAAGTGACTTTTCCTTAAACAAATTTAACTTTTTCCAATCTTCAAAAGTGGATTTTTTTTTTCTTGATTTATTATTGTATGTTCCGTAATTATTATAAGCGATCCTATAGTAGTGGCGTAAAACCGGACGTTATTTTTTTCTTGTTCTCGATTCGTCTGCGTATTACAGGTAATACCGTTCTAATATTATGCGTACGACTTTGCGCTATAACAACGAACGTTAAAATAATAATAATACAAATTCGCTATCGTAAAACAAAATATACGCTCGTTGTGTAATTTTTTTCCCCTTTTTTTCTTATCGTCGTTTCGTTACGCCGGACATTTTATTATGCACACACGGTCCGTATTATAGGTTTGGGTTTTAGTGTCGCCGAACTGATTTTTTGTGTGTGCGGCAATCCATAACAGTAGTTTATACCCACCTACCTCAACGCCGCTGTATTAAACCTAAGTCGCGGGGAGGGGGGCATAGCCGTTGTTGTAGACTTAGAAATGTATTATGTAATATTGGTTATTTACCGTCAAACGATTAGTTAAAAATAGTTATAGTTATAATTAAATAGTTGTCTGCTTTTACCGATACGATCGCACAGTAAACGCTATAAGTAATAAGTCCGCGTGTTTTTCGTTATGTTTTAATATACGCCGCAGTAGTTTTATCGTCTCCCTCGTTTCGTAAATGTTTACAGAAAAAAAAAAAATCCATTCGTGACGTTAAATATTTGCGTTCGGCGTGCATACGCCTACAATATATAATATTATATAGGTACCCGGTATACAGGATGACGACCGGAAAACGTACGGCGTATCAAAGACGAGGAAAAAAAAAATCGTTTTCGAATATTATCCTCGTCGTCTATACACGAAATAGTGCAACGCGTCAATACCTTTGTGTATTTTTCCAAACGAACGCGATTCGGTTTCGAGTCGTTATTGTTACACTCGTACGTCATCGTCGTTGTTATTATAATTATCGTTGTATTATCGAAAAATATGTGAAAATATCGTACGGAAATATTCACGGTAGAAACGAATATTACGCGTTCCGTTTATATTCTATATTTGTTGACCGCGGTTATACGTTATAGGTATGTATATATATACGTACATATACGTGCGTTTTCCAATTTCGCGAAAAAATATTACGCCCCCCCCGTCCCCCGCAAGGGCCTCATCCCTCAAGGCTGTGGATATTCCGGATACGCGTATGTATATACATACATACAGGGTACTCGAAACTCGGTAGTATTCGCCGCAGTGTTTGTTTTGGAAAACGATATATTTCTTTTGAACATACGCGTATACGTTGTGAAGAATATAATATATTGAGTACGATTATTATATTAAACCGAAAATGGTTTCAATACTTTCGGTACGTCTTCGTCGTCGTTTATATCATCGTATACGTTTCCGTTTGTTATTCGTTTTATATCATATTCAAAATCGTAATCGAAAGCTATTCGGTTTTACTGTATATAAGTATAGACGCGTTCTTGTTCTTGCTCGTAAAACACTTTTTCGGCTCGCGACGGTCCTCGTAGACTTTCGTCTAGACTGGGAAAAATGTTCGAACGATATTTCCCCCCGTATTCGCGCGTGTTTAATTTCGGACATTAAATGTAGAGACTTTTAAGGTTTTTTTTTTTTTTTCTTATCGACATTTCTAATTTTCCTCGATTACACAAATACGTTTTAAGAAAAAATACTTTCCCGGCTTCGTTCTGAAGCCAAAACGAACGAGCGTATCGAATAATCGAGACGAGCAGTATCGTCTAATTCTATGCGAGCGATAAGCGCAATTTACCGATTTCCCGCCTAGTATAAGTCCCGTCTCGCTTTTGTGTTAGCATATTTTATATAAATATTTTAATAATTCAATAACGTCTCGTATATCTGCGCGCGTGCCTCTAGTGAGGATAAATTATTTAGCTGAGTTTTTTTTTTTTATCGTTTCCTGTAGATATAGCATTTTGCGCTGCTTCTGCAAGTATTGCACTGGACGGTCATCCGTTAATCAATATAATGACAAATCGTCCGTGTTAGCGGGATAAAAAGAAGAAAAAAAAACCTTTTATATCCTGTCCGAGATATTATACAATATATATAGGTACTTTCTCGTCGATAATAATATCACGACGGCGAGGTTTTTGTTTCCCGCGCGTTAAATGAAATTCCTGAGCGGGATATCGGATCTATGACATACACTGTAGTGGAGCACTAGTTCATCGGGGGTATACCCGTACTGCCGAAGTTATGCGATAGAAATTATAAACCATAAGTGTGTATGTGTTTGTGTGTGTGTGTGCGTGCGTAGACCGGTGTACTTTAACATTGGCGAAAATCGTTAAAAAAAAAAAAAAACCTCGATCGTAATCCTGCAGTTTATATACGTGTACCTGACTACCTGACCACAACGGAAAATAACGTTATTGTAAGGTACTATATAGATTGCGTGTACGATTTTAAACGGACATTCCTCTCCGCGGAGAATTTCTTGTCGGACTATTTTTTTTTTTCTTAAGATACCGCGGATTTAAATGGAAACGAACCCGCGGTGGCGGTGGCGATAACGAAGGACGACGGGATTTCGTTATATAGGATGAAAATACCACATGGCTTCTTTTTTTTTGTTTTTTTTTTTTTTTGTTGTTTCCCGGGGCACGTGTTTTTTTGAAATGCGTAAATAGAAAAAAATAGAAAAAAAAAATAACCATAACCCGAAATCCCTCGGTCGTTGCACGTCGTGTTTTATATAATATAATTTAGGTAGTTTATTACCGGAAATTTTAAATCTCTCTATACACACAAATGATTACGGAAGGGGTTTTTTTTTTGTGTTTTTAAACCATCGCCTCATTATTATTATACATCACTTAGGGTCAAAACAGTCACGTTTTCCTATACATCGTGTATAAAGTATAATTTCGGATCGGTTTTCTCCGTCCCCGTTCTTTGCGTTTCGGCACCGCGTTACATGTTGCGTTATATTTTTAGTTTTTTAAGTTTTTCATATTCTACCGCAAGAGAGGAGTAAAATCATGATACAATACAATATATTCACATACACACATTATTTTATAACTTCGCGTTTAGTTTATATTTTGTGTGTATACAATCGCAATAACACAAATAACAATAACAATACCATTATTCAAAATATTTAACTAGATACAATATGACATTGTATCGGACACCTATTTTGTAATTTGTATGATTTTAATCTACAAAACTATGTACATTTTTACGTTTTGTCATAAATTGTGTCCTGCGCATTATTTAATATTATATTATTTTGGAAGCTTGAAAATCTCTTGAATCTCTTTGATGCTTAAAAATTTGATACAGGGCTAATCTTTTGTTGTACGTGGCTATAGACGTGTGAAGTTCAAATTAAAAACTACTCGTACGTTTTCCATTTGTGCTATTCGAATACGAAACGACATTAATACTGTTATATATTAAAGTTTTCAGTTTGCAATTATAGTATAACATTGTAAATTTCGCGTATTCAAAGGATGTTAGCGCACAGTATTTGTTTTCTCTGTATAATCGACGCCCAACATGGCGAATTTGCGTTCAGCATAACCAAACTCGTGATGTTGCTTAAGTATTTGAGTAAATTGCCTTCAAACTTGATGTTAATAATATTATCCGTGTTTGTACGTTGGTTTTTTTACGATATTTCCATCTTTATGCAAGTTACTATAGCATGTAAAACAAAACAATTTAAAAATACTCGTATCTCATTTTAAAATTGATATATCGTAAAAAATCCAATCTAAAAAACGCGGATATAATGTTCTTAACTTTAAATTTGATAGCAAGTCAATTCACTCCGATTATATTAAACCAACACGAATTGGGTACTTATGAACGCAAATTCACTATATGTTGCCAGTGGCGTAACTATAGAACTTCTAATGCCCGTGGTGAAATTTTGTATTAAGATCCTTAATACCTTAGGCCATGGTCTACGCCATCCACTAGTAGGACCCTCGTCAGTTATCGGACCGTGTCGTTTACCTTTCTTATCCACCCGGTATTTACGTAACTGCATGTTACACGTGGTTCAGAGAGGAAAAATAAACTATGGCGGCTCGAAAATCGTTATATTTTGTGTACTCTTATAACGCTAAACAAAATAGAAAGTTGGCGCTTTACTCGTCGTTTTCAATCCGTTTGTAATGTCGTTCGCGGATAGATTTCTCTGCGCTTATTCGAAACTTTTACCGTCAATTGACAGTCAATTTTGTCTCAATATACCGTTATAATAATGAGCATTAGTTCCAACCGATCTTAATGTGTAAAACGGTAAACGAACATTCGGAAACAAAAGTCAATAGGTAATGCACTAGTAATAGTTTTATAATAGACGACTTCTCTTCGCTGTGTATAACTAATTGAATAATAACGTCTTTTGCGTCGTGTTGCTCAAATTACCATGCGTGTCAGCCGAATAGAGGGGAGGGAAGGCCGTGTACGTAAACCGTTTGACAAAAACCTTGGCTTTATGTGGCGGTTACGCCATTACGTAACGATGTGTGTGTGTTTACATCGGTGAGTACGCTTGTTACACTGATAATATTATAAATTATAACAAACTATCGCGCGTGAAAATCGCAAATAAAAAAGGACGTGAATTAGGTTTTTTTTTTTTTAAATTCCATTTTTGAATAAAAACAGTTTTAAGTCAAAGTCAATAGTATTTGCATGCAATTTTTTTTCTCCACTTTTTTGATTAACTTGAATTTTCTCAGAGTTAATAATTCCGACTACTTAACTGAAGTAAAAACCATTAATTAATTTTGCGGGGCGTTTTGATAGTGTGATTAAACAAAACGATTTCTGTTTTAATTCGATTGACTTGGCCCCCGCAAGGTTTGCACATCACTATTTCGTATTGTATAACATTTGAAATCGCTTTATTGTTACAATAATATTACTGCAATGTTTTGAGATAATCGATAGTATTCAAATGAAATTTTTTGCACGTGTGTGTTTTCACACGTACAATATTATTGTCTTTGTTTTGTTTTCATATACCGACATGCAATATTGTGCAACATTAACGAATAGAAATTCAATGAGTACGCTGCGGCTTTTAAACTGCGCTTGAAATTAAATTAAACAAACCTGTTACTCGAACGTCACGAAAAATAACTAACTCTAACGGCCGCGTAAAACTTTCAACCTAAAAATAGTATAATAATAAAGACCGTTGTGTACTAGTTGCGTCCCAACCACCTGCGATGTTTAAAACGTCTGCATTAATATTTCATAGGGCTCGTCGAATATTATTGATTCAACATAACCGATTGCGTTTGAACTATGATAATTGTCTCGTTTGTTACGTACTTATAGGTACAAATGCATTTATTGTCACGTTTACCAGTACCGTAATATATAAATGTATATGTATTTATTTATTTTTTATAACAATTAGGAAAATAACAAAATGCGTGCATAACAATAACACTAACAGTAAAGACAATATGTTTAACCTACCTGACTAGGGTCTTGAGTTTGTGTAAAAATGGACTTGAAAATATCGTTCAGTTTTCATAATTTACAGGAAGCATTTAGTATGTACCCGATAATAAATTCGACGCCCCCCAAAAATAACCTTTACATACTACTCCGGGACGCGATTCGAAAGGAATTGTCGGCTGCCTACATACATAATAAACGAAAACAAACGAGCACTATATTCGGTTAAAATAAACCAACAGTCTTATCTCTCGATATACGGCGAACGATTAAAAATATATTATTGTTTGCAGACGTCTTTTTAGATTGTTTTTGTAAATACGAGTATTGCCAATACGTATAATTCCGTTAATATCATAAAGTAATAACTCTGCGTCGTACTTTTTTATACTCTGCGTCATACTCTTAAAAATAAATTATTTCTCGTCATATTGTTTAAGATTAGATTATGTCGTTCGCCTCGTTGAATGCATTATTGAACATCACGGACGATGGCATTTGTTGAGAGTTTTTAACCGGTACGTTGTATAACTGCAAAGGTGTCTAAATCCGTCGTATTTTTAATTTTGTTATCACGGTTCGTCAAAACAATAAATTCAAAAGCGTATAAAACGGTCCGGCTTCGTCTTTGTCACCAAGCTTATTATTGAAACGATTTGTTCACACTGCACAGCACACCCCGGTTAGGTTAACAATAGGGGGAAAAAAATTGAATTATATCCAAAATTATAACGTCCCTCGGTCGTGCGTTTCGTTTTCGATTGAAATAATAATATTAATATATTCATTTTTATCAATATTATTATTTTTACTATGCCTACCCACGAATGTTCGAATTCGAATTCCCGGGACCTCAGAAGCGCAAATATACGCGCCTGCCATACCGCAGCGAAAACAAACGTGTTGTCAGCCGAAATCCCGTGAAGTTAACGAACAAACACTGATTACTAATTTTCTTTCCAGTACCAATTATAGTGCTGAATTAGTGTTGTACCGTTTTAAAAAATTATCATTTTAATAATATTTCTGTCTATTTCTTCACAACAGATGTGTCTGTAAAGTCTTTGCTATTTTCGAAACAGTCACGCGATGTTAGTATTGCCATCACAGTGTAATAATTTATTGTCATACTTGTTTTGATTTCTTGTTTAAAAAAAAAAAGAAATCAAACAACCGGTATTATTAAAGCAAGTAAATTACTTAATATAAGTAAATAAATAATATTGCAGTAGGTGGATCGTATTAGGCAGTAGGTAGAATCGGATATTTTTATTTTTTTTAAATTCGACAAAAACGCCAGTCGTCTGTTATATTTTCGCAAACCAATAGTGGTAATTTTACCTATATATTATTATAAATAGGTGTGTATACAATTGTGGTAATATCATACCGAACGGTAGCCATTATAACAATAAGGAGGGGGAGGGGCTCTTTAGAGGTGAATATTATCATCTGCTGCAGTAGTTCCTGTATATAATGCAGTAAAAGCCAGAAATCCGTTCGAATAATAATGTTGTTCTCGTCGTTTGAATGCTATCATAATTTTTGTATATTTTAGTTTAAAAAAACAAAACAAAACAAAAACCGGGTATTTTTGTTAAATACCCGACCGTCGGTCGTATATTGTCTTATTTTTATTTACTATTTATAAAAAAAAAAATAATGTATTTTTTACCATAACCTACATTTCGTTTTCACGTAAAAAAAAACCTGCCAAATTATATATGTATGTATGTTATAGTTTTAATAGTAAAATTGAAGATATAAGAGAAGATAAATGATACTCTATATAATAAAGGTCCATTGAATGTCCAACCCCCCCATTTCTTAAAAAAAAGCTTTATGAGCTGATAGACCAAAACTTCTTCTTGACTTTTGGGTTTTCCTCAGTAACTTCTTCCTTCGCCCCCGCCAGTGAAACTGTAAGAGTATTTCCTATGAAAAATATAATATTTCGTTATAAAATCGTTATTACCATTTGTTTTTTATAGTTGAACACTGCATAGTAAGCAAAATTTTACTCTTCTGGTTGTTTAAGGGACTTTGCGTGTGTTCATTGGCACACAGAAAACCCCCTTATAAATAATGTCCCGCTATATACTCTCAGAACCATAGCGTATATGATATTTGGAAGACCCTGCAGTACATACACGGTGCATAGGTGCCTTAAAATACAATAAAATTCGATTTCTATAAATCAATATTTCTTTACGTGGTTTATTAAATGTTAGGGTACAGTGGATATTGGATACTTCAAGTTTTCCAGTTAGGTCGACGTGTTTACCTTTTATATATCGCATACGTAAAAATGTGGGTCGATGTGTTCCGCGTTGTTGTTATTATTATTATTATTAAATCTTGTTTAAACGTGAAACCCTCGCTCTATTACAGATATAACGTTCCTACGTTAATAATTCGTATCTTCAGAGAAAACCGTTGACTGAAATTTAAACCTATAAAATATATACACACAGTATACACGGGTAGAGTATGTCTGCAGTGAGCTTCAAAGAGTTCTCGACTTAAAAAGTTGTTAGTGCGCAAAAGATGTTAAAGGGATACACGTGACGCGGATATTTGTATTCGATTACGCTCGAATGTCGAAAATAATTCTGTTTCCGACGCGGACTCGGGTGTATTATTTTTTCTGAGTGGTTGTTAATTTAGTAATACTATACGCGTTCACAAAGGAACGTCGTTACTTTTAATTATTACACCGGGAACGGTTTTATCCGAGTGAATATTCATTATTAGGTATTATCGTTATCATTATTATTATTATTATTATATCGAATTAAACTCGGTATCGCGTGTACTGTGGGAATCATGCAGAGCTGATTATGGAACTGGAGTGCAATAAAGACGCCCGTTTCCTAAAGAGTCGTATTATTAAACAGCGAAAAGATGAATGGAAAATATAGTATATTATAATATAATACTTGGCTTATACAGTGTGTCCCACGAGAATTCAACAAATGCAATAACTTTTGTTCTATTCAATATTTTTGACTTCAATTTTTTTAAAATAATTATTATGCCTCAGCACTACAGTTTATATTTGAATATTTTTCTTTTTAAGGAAAAAGGGTCTTAAAATAACAAATTTTAATTTTTAGAAAAGTTTTAGTGGTTGAAACTTTTGTCAAAGTATGGTTTTTTATTTTCTACGATTTTTCGAAAATTTGAATAATTTTCTTTTCAATCATAACAATTTTGTTCACCTACATAAATTACCATTATTGATTGTTTGGAATTACTTAATAACTATACTATGATAATATTATTTCTTGGTAATTAATTCACGGAAAATAAAATCCCGACTAATTACTAAATAACCACAATAGGTAATATTCACATTTGCAAATACTTCAAAAAATCATAGAAAATAAAAGATCATACTTTAACAAAAGTTCCAACCACTAAAAATATTCTAAACATCTATTTTACAAAATGACTATTTTGAATTTTTTTAAAAAAATTATTGTAAAATTTCAACTTTTTATTTTTAGTCTCTCTCCTCCTAAAATAAAAATGTTCATATATAAACTGTAGCGCTGAGGCATACTATTTGAAGAAAATGTATATCAATATTATTGAATAGAAAAAATGTTATTGCATTTGTCGAATCCTCGTGGAACATCCTGTATTAGAGAAGGGGAGCAATTTTTAATTTTTTTGAAAATAAGTTTGGCGAGGTGTAAAATAAATGTACGGTATCAAAACTATGAAAAACAAATTTTGTTATTTTAGCTTTAATAGTAGGTGCTACTACACTGAGATTGAACGTTAAAATTTAGTAAACATTTGTTAGCAAGGAATTTCGTAACATAGTTAAATTTTATAGTTAAGAAATCGAATTTTCACTATAAAACAAAGAGAATTCGCACTGTTACAAAATAATAGTCATTCGATGAGTTCAAAAAAGTAAAATCATCGCTGCACAGTTTTTAAGTTCTACTGTTGTAATAGTAAAAATTTGATTTTTCATAATTAAGTCTATAACTTGGACGGTTGTCATAATAGAATCATGCCTGTAATAATACAACCTCTTAAAAAAGATATCAACGAGATCGTTTTTGAACGTGAAAATTATAAGTAAGCCGATATGAATCTTTTCCGTTATTCCGATATCTTAAAAAAATTCGATATCATTTAAATTATACATCAAGAACATTGGTGTTCTACTAGAAAAATAAAAAACACGATTTTCCGATATTACCAGTATCGGCCGATTTTCGATATCGGCTCGTGTCGATGTTCACCCCTAGTGAAAACCTCTTATCGAAAAACCGTTTTATCTCGAAACGCATTTACGATTTAGCGTAAAATGTCGTCCAGATAGAAATTTAAATAACTCGACTTTATCTATAGGGAACGGGATTCAGTAAAATAATAATTTATGAAGAATAAAAAAAAAAGATAAGAAAGAAAATATTTCGAGTCAATATTGTTTATATTATGCACGCTATATTGAGTGCGGGACATCTTCTCTTATTATTTATATATATATATATATATTGATACAACGTTTTCAACATTTTATTCGTGCATACCGTACATGGCGTATATCACGTAATTATACATGGACATTAAACGCATATTGTCGACATTTGATTTTCTAAATAATAATATACACCCGAGCGTACAATGGAAAAACGTTAAAAATATTGTAAATTAATTAGCGAATAAACTGTCCGTCGTTATGTGCGATTCTATATCACAGAGCCGGCTAACAAGCTATTCGGCGGCTCTTGTCGCACGAAACTTTCCACTATTATATGACCGTGTTTGCATTAAAATTGTATATTTCTGTAGTGCGGTTGTTTTCAACCTGGGGGTCGCCAAAAACTATACGTATCACATGTATACTGTACATTGTATTATTCGAGTTCTATTAAACGAATTTTGAAGAGTTTGTCATAAATGATAAAACAAAATTAGGTGGTCGCGATTCGAAAAAGGCTGAAAACCACTGCTATAATGTATACGTTCTGAATTTCGTGCCGTTTTTCGAAACACGTTCTCGGCCCGGACCAGTATTGCCAAGTTTTGTAGACGTAATTATTTCTGACGATTCGTAATTAACTATACATATAACAGCCCTGTACTTGAAATATATTTTGTCCGAATCGAGAAGGTCCAAACTCGTTTTTTGTGACGTACTGCGGGGCCTTACACTATTATTTTACGATTTGATGTTTACTTATTCTTGTACCGGACAGACGGTATCTCGATCGCTAAAATTACAAAAACAAAAAAATCATACATTTATGTTATTGTAAAAGTGACCTATCTAACTTTTTATTTTATTTAAGAAGAAAATGAACAACTATACTAATTAGCGTAACAAATAAAAGTAATAACAGAGAAAAAATGTATAGACAAACATGAAAAAGGTATGATGTAGAAAAACACCCAGCGGTGCTATCTACTTTGGATATTTGTAATTTTATTTAAATTTTAAAGGTAGTCTCTACTCCATTTTTTTATTATTATTATTATTTTTTTTTTTTCGTTGACTTCCTAAGAGGGTTAACAATAATACGGTTTGAAGACAGGTGAACTATATTAGGGTCGTTATGGAAGCTGAATTCGCATTAGAGTTTAACTGGTAAGCCATTTGAACAATCCGGTTGACATAATTGATTTTAAGGTCAGTGTGAAGTTAACCGGGGGAATTTGGTTAATGTACGTATGAAAATGGATTGTAAAGTTCATAATCTATTATAAGATCTAATCTAATATAATCTATATGAGGTCACTGGTTAGGTTATTTGGGAGGGGGGGCGCCCCAACACAAAATTGTAATGAAAAAAAAGAGACGAATGTCGATTTATTATACGCCCTACTTCTCCGAAGACACCGCAGTGTAATAATAACAGTATTAATACTCGTCGTGCAACGTGGAGGCTGCTGTCTGAAAATTTAATCGCGGAGCCTATACGGGAGGTGTATTACGATAATACGTATTACAATATATTATGTATAACCGCACGCGGTAATTTGTACGCGTCTTATGATAATATTATTGTACGTGTGTGGTATACACACTAAATTATATATATATAATATTATATTGCGATCGGGGTACCGCCTCGTGTACGTAATTTACGGCGGGCAATAAAACTCGGACGGGGGTGAGGCGCGACGACCGTTTAAACTCGTCTGGGACGCGAAACGCGCGCACGCGAAACGGCATCCGTGTCGTGTTATTATTATAAAAACCCATCGACAGTTAGTGTACAAAAGTATTGCCGCTGCGGTTATATCATGTAGTATACAGGGCGCGGCTCGTGAAAACAGACAGTTAAATAACAAACAATTTTCTAGGGGGAAAAATAACGTTTTTTTTTTTTTTTCTTATGTTTCGGGCCGGAGAACCGAGCCGATTTTCCGAAATTTCAACCCTCTGGAAAACGAGCCAGTAAACTGACGTGTTTTCTTATGAGGACGGTACACGTGCGTTTGTTGTTGCCGTTGTTACAAACGCGCGATTACACAGTTAAAACTCGCAGCTCATGCAAACAGTTTTTGTTTGAGTATAAAAACACCTATTATAAAATCAAAAAAGAACAATATTCCGGGAGGGCAAGACGGTGTGGTTGTTTCCATTTGCTCCGAATTTAACAGTCAATTTACCGTTTATAAATAACGACTTTTTCAACGTTTTTTTTTTTTTTTAATTCTCTAAAATTAGTGCGTTTACTCTAAAACCAAAACCAAGCGAGTTCTATGTAGTCTACGTAAAACATGTTTTTACAATGTCTTGTGTTTTTAAAACAGAAACAACGTCCTCTTAAGAGGACGCGTGATAACCACTCATGTGCTGTCTCTCCGTCTTTATAACGCGGTGGTTTTCAAACTGGGTGTCAAAAACATTCACTAGATGTGCCGTGGTGTTTTGAAATTTGTTTTCCTTAATTTGTGACGGGCCTCCAGTTACGATGATCTGTTCGTTAAGTATGAAGTCGTATCGTAAATTTTTCGACTATGACTCATTTGAGTATGACTCATCAATTGTGTTATTAGTTTTAAATTTGTATAAAAATTAACAATGATAAAAAAAGAGTCACGGTTTGCCGTGAAAATGTTGTGAAAAGCGAAATGTGCCGTGGTTAAAAAAAATGGTCGCGTCAACTCAGCTAAACGTCTTCCGTACGTCATAATATTTACTCAAATCGCATTTTATCTTTCTGTAGAGTGTGCCTACATAATATTTTTTTTTCTTGCAAAAAAAGGTCCATTCCCACGTCGCACCCTGAATATTATATTCTTTATTGATATCGCTTCTATATTTTGTGACGTGACGTATAGTCCGTATCTCCCGCGGTGTTCATGCTACTCTTCCCCACGCCAACCCATTCGCAAACCAACCGCTCCCTCTGCCGACCCTTACGTATATAATATACCTGTAATTTCGACGTATTATTATTATTATCATTATTTTTTTTATTTTTTTTTTTTTATTTTTTTTGTTATTATTACCTGTGTGTTGCGTGTGTACCTTAACGAGGCGCGGACCAGATGGTCGGAGTATTATAGTGTAATATTTCAATTCCCGTCGTCACGGCGATGGCGTAATTATAATATATTGCCGATGACGAATTAACCTAAAAACAAAAATCGAAAAAACCCCAGAACGCAAGAGCTTACTTGTGCAGCAAGTACGATGAACAGTTAATATGGTTTAAGCTCAGAAAAAATAGCCCCCTACTCACCACCATAATGTTGAGAAAAAAACAAAAACGATTTAAGGGGAGGGGGGCTTGACTGAGATTTGGGATTGTTAGTCTCCACTTTATGTATGCCATCGATTCGTGATTGAACTGAAATTGAAGTTTAAAAGAGTCAGAAATATATTATGCGGTGGTTTTTTCGATTAGTAAAAATATGATTCAAAAACGTTAATTTCCTAAACTTAACCGGGTATAATTAAAATGACATGTTTAACATGGAACATTTCTTTTTAGATTCCCGATAGTTTTGTAAAACAACATCAGGAATACTGATGAATAATAAAGTAATATCAAATTTCTTCAATTCTTCACTTTGTTTTGTATGCGAGATCGTTCGGTTACACGAGTAGGATGTGACACCGATAAACTTTTTTGTATTTTCCCGATTGGCCGTAATTTTCATGTAAAATAATCCGAGAAGTACAATATTACGTAAAGATAATTTATAGGAGTTATGAAATGTGAACGGTTATGAACGTTGTTTTTAGTTTTTACTCGCGAAATTTTGTCGTTTTTTTTTTTTTTTTTGGATTTGGCAAAATGCCGATTTTAACGCCACTGCCGGTAAAAAAAAACCTCTGCTGCAAACCACTACAGTTATTATTTTTTTTATTTTTAGCGGAGAAAATATTATTATCACTTATCGACGTGTGCCAATCGCAATAAAACCGAATATAATATATGCAACTCGTGTTCTCGTACCAATAAATTACTATATAGGACATAAAGCAGTTTTCGATTTGGCGGCCGGACATATAATAAATAATACGCAAGCCCAGACGGTTTGCAGCGCATTTCTATATTATTAAATGACGACTCACTGCATAGTAGTGTACTCGTATAATAGTATGTAATATTTTATTTTTGGAGAGCAATTATTGTTCATCGGTCACGCGTTACTCATTAAAAATGGATAACATTAGATCATATCAAATATCTACAGAAGTTGGATGCGTATATATGTGTACACTTATATTCAAATTCACAGAGACCAATTGACACCAATAATTATCTTGACCTCGTTTGTGTCGCTCGTCTTTCGATAGTTTAGAAAAACAACCAAGAGAACTCGCGTACGTGATTTCGAAAGTCCGTCTACACCTATCAAGTACAATAATTGTCTCTATAAACTACGAGTATAAAAAATGTTGATTTTGTAAATTTTCAATTTAAAAAAATGCCGATACTGCCGATGATGACAAGTGCGTCACGACTGTAATTTAAAACTTTGTGGTCGGAAAAGAGGAAATAATATGGAATGATTTAATTTACATTTGCAGCTGTACACAGTGATGATAGCCGTATTCATAGACGCAACTAGAAAGGTGCTAGAAGGTTTTTAGTAGCCCTATGCACCCCTGAAAATACCCAATAAATCGTTTTATAGTACAGATTAAATTTATTATTATATACTATAGTAAAAACTAAGAACAAACGAAATTGCTTTTATTAAATAACGAAACAAACATAAGCATTTTATATGTGAACCAAAACATTATTACAAAATAAAAACTGTATATTGCGTTTTTTGCAAACTAAATATTGTTCAACTTTTTCAACAAACGGTTGGTGTCTTGATGAACTTTTTGTCTATGTGAACACTAAGCATATACATTACACACAGTCCATCCAAACAATATTCTCCCATAGTACTTCTTGTCATTATCGTTAGAAATGTTAATTTATTATAACTAAAAAAAAAAATTACAATATAATATTTCTTAGGGGGGGAGTGACACGTCACCCCCTTGCACTCCCTTATGGACGCCCTTGGTAGGTATATAGTAAGCATTGTACCCAAAAAAAATTCCCACCGCGTTTACTATTATAATATTATAGGGTCATTTTATAGGGTGGTTTTCTCGGATCCGACCTTTCATTTTCTCTCTCGATTTAACGCGAACGCGTACATTTTATAATCCCATCCATAATAATCGACGACATCGGCCGAACAGCTGAAAAACAAAATCGGTACATTTATTTTTTTTATACGATTAGTCATCCGCAAAGAGGATTTTATACACAATAGCGATTCGTTGTTTATTCGCTATAAATATATAGGTATAAAATCTTTTCGGTTTGTCGCGTAATATTACGCCGCGCCCGTTGTTTAACGTAAACATTTACTGGGTGAGGGGTGATGGAGGGGAAGTAGGGTTTTGGATAATTTCTCGACGAAATTATATTGAAATCAATACAATGACAGTGTATGTACGCCAATGTATCAGCGTTCCGAACACCCGCTATAGTATACATAATTTAATTCATATAGCGCCTGTATGTTATAATACTTGGCGGTGGTTTTTGAAAATATACTTTAATCGATTTTGTAATCGGATCTTAAAGTCGACCCGGCGTAACATTATAACAATATTATAATACGCGAATGTTCGATTTCGTCGTCGTTTACCGTATTGCAAGAGTAAAAAAACGTCGTAAAACCGTTCTTACCCGTTTATAATTACGATACCGAGAATGAGTAATTATTGTAAGTAGGAAAATAATTCTCGGGTATTCTGAATATATAGCTAGATAGTATAATCATAATGTTACTGGAATGTAGTTTTTTATTTTATTTCGGGATACCGTCGTATTTCCGGTTACTAAAGGAAAGAATGCTCGAAAACTTTCGCTCTGCGTCGGTAAATTTTATTATATAAAAGTTCGAGTGAAAAAAAAAAAACAAACAACAAATGGACGGTTGACAACACCCCGAAGACGAATTTTAAAATGTCGATTTCTATATATTATCCTTTTGTTTTGTCGGAAAAGACTATTTCGACGGATAAAATGCTCCGCAGCGGCCTATTGCCTATGCGAACGGTGTATTTTTTAGATTCTGAGCAAAACAAAGAATGTACTGGTTTTACAATGATGTTTATTTAATTTTTTTCTCCAGCAATTTCGCTCCGATTTACAACGATAAAACTTTTTTCGAAAGGAAATCTGGCTGCGGGTGGTACTTTAAGGAGGTAATTTTTTGATTTTCCCAATAGATGGGGAAAAAAACGTAGGAAAATACTAAACAAATATTATTAAAGAAAATAATATGCAATGCATATGTGATTATTTTACCCTAATATGACATGTATATTTTTGACAAAGCAACACTATTAACCGAACTCCGCTCAGAATCGTTTTTCGTTTGCAATAGTTAATCTTTGTATACAGATATATATATTAAATTTCCACCCGCGCGCAAAGAATGTCCGTCTTTTTCATTACTATTATTATTATTATTATCATATTGTTACGATAAGAGAGGGCATCTTCCCGCGTCGCGATAGCTTGACTAAACGCGTCGCTGCAGACGTTAAAAAACCGTGGTATTCGAAGAGGAAGACCGAGGATGAGTACGGGAGTCGCATCGTTTAGTGAATGGAATTAATATCCAGTGAACTGACAAGACTTGGCTTGTGAATACGAGATTCGATCGTTCATACAAGAATGAAAATCTCCCGGAACTGCAGTCCAGACGTATCCGAAATCTATTAGACGATAAAAAAACGTATACGTTTTCGGTGAAATTATGAAATTTTCAAAAACAAAAAGGAAAAATTATACGAAATGCAGCTATTAGTTGAAAAATAAACGTCCTAAGATAATGGGGACAGGTGCAGCCACTGTTATAGGTCATTTAATGTATAACTGTAAGCAATGATAGACCATTGCTTACGAAAAAACGATTCTGAGCGGAGCTCAGTTTGTCCATAATATATATGCCATATTATAGTAAAATAATTAAACAGGCTCTATATATTTCCTTTAATAATATTTATTTAATGTTGTACCGATTTCCCCGGTTTTCCTATGTTTTTTTAATTGCCGGTAGAAAAGTTGTCCACGGAAAAAAAAAAAATTAACCCGCCCAAGTGGCGAGTTTATTGATAGCGAAGCATCCACTGCAGTACTTCCTTACGAAAGGAAACCTCGGCGTACCAATCGCATCCTAGGTAGGACACATTATCACATCTCAAAAACCATAGTTTTGAGAAAATTTAATATCTTCCCAAATGGTTAGTTATAATAATCTGTATATTTGGCGAAATTGATTCTTAACCAAACGCCAGAAAATTAGGTTTTGATGGCGGTTTAACAATGTATAGGAATCCGAATATAAAAACTGCCACATTCAGTTTGGTGTCAGTCTTCCGATTCAAATCGAATATTTTACGCGCGTATTACGGACGCGTTGGTATGGCTACGACTCGTTGTGGGCGGTCTATCATTTCGTAGAGAAATCGTTTGCGATTTTAATGATACCGACGAGTCAAAAGTGACAAATTCTGAGTTGTGGCGGTCCCGTTCCGAGGGTGCGCTATCGGAGACGATAATATATACAGAAGGAAGCGGCGCGGAACCGGCCCGAGCGATATTTCTGAAATACCCGCCGATTTCCATAACGCGATCAACCCCGAAAATTATCCGCGCAAATCGAACCTAACCTCCCGCCGCCGCCACCCCCCCGTCGCGATATTATTGCAATAGTACAATACGCGCGATGTCATTACGCGTGTACGGAACACACTCGTGTATTATAATATCGTGTTTTGTCGATCGTAATCGCGCGCGGTTCTCATACCGGCGAGGGGGCGCGTCGGGCGGTGCGCCGCGGAAGACGAGAGCCGCGGGCGCAGTGTATTCCGCCGCGAGTGCGGTGCGGACGCGGAGGTTTGGGAAAACGCGCGCGCGCTGCCGATTTATTCGCGACGACGACGACGACGACACGCGGGAGCCGGGAGTACGGCGAAGATTTTCCGCGGCGTCTCTGTCTCTCTCTCTCTCAGTCCGCCGCCGCCGCCGCCGCCGCGAACAACGATAAATATCGTTTTCTCGCTCGCTCGCGCGTTATTTTCCCGTTTCACCGCGGGGATACAGCGATTTGCATTTTCGGAAAACCGAACGGAACGGGGGCGCCCGCGGCTCCGCTCGCCCGGCGTTTGTTTCCCGTCGCGCCGTTTAACGTTTCGCCGCCGCCGCCGCCGCCGCCGCTATGCGTCCGACTCCGTTCGCTCGTTATAAAATAATATCCTTATAAGAGCGGGCGGAAGAAGAATACGAGATAATACGCGGTAGACGGGAGACGGGTGGTCGTACGCGCGTGTAGGTACGCGCTCGCGCGCGCGCGTGTGCATAATACAAACTCGTTTGCAATACCAGACGCATTAGCATATAACGCCGCCGGTGTAAAATCGGCCGGCAGAAGTTCGAAATAATATTATTATTGTAAAACGTACGCTCCGTACACGCGCGTAGTAATAATAATAATAATAATACGATAATTTATAACCGTGGGTACCGTGCCGTATATTACAGCGGTGCATTATAATATTGTAAAACCGATGCGCTTCTCGTGTACGGGTGCGCTTGTGTACGCGTTTTACGGCGGGCGGCGCCGGCGTGTTTCGAGAAAGCGCGGCGGCGTGGTGCGTGTCGAGTTTCTCGCGTGACTTTTGAAGTCTGTTCGATGCGCGCCCGGCCCGGGTTTCCCGCGCGTCTAGGCCGCGGCGATTACGACAGTGACATTTTTTCGTATGATCCAGCGACGGCCGCTATACGGTATAGCGGACTGGCGGCAGTGTGTTGGATACATTTGTATCCTGTGCGTTTTGCAGTTGATACATTGTGTATACTGTCTATAGTGTCCAGATTCTAAAAGGTCCTAAAACTAACTCCGTGCATTGGCCAGAAACAGTAGGGGGGGGGCCTTTGAAGGATTTCGATTACCCCTCTTCCTCCTCCCGGTGAAAACTCCACTAAGCCTCATAAAATAAAGTGCTCGCCGAGTAAAATACCAACAGTAAACACAATCAATATTATATCGATTGGGGCTTAAGCTCCCTTCCAAAAATATTTAGACTATTTTTGCGTATGATTTTCGTGTAACGTTTGTTTTCGATGATAGTTGCCTTCCCAGCTAAGAGGAACTGCGCAGCACGCTTATGAATGCAGAACGTCTATAGAGACGTTAACGGTCTGCAGTGGTGCCGCGTGAGCGGACTCGGTGGCGCGGCGAACGTTTACTAACGATGACGCGTGACTTGTATTTTAGCGATCGCCCCTTTTTTTTTTTCATCGTCGCCCGACCGGAGAAAGGTCCACGATTAAATTAACGGCAGACAAGTGAACAAGTTTGTTTTTTTTTTTCTGTGTACCCGTGATCACGAGTATAAGCAAACGCTTCAGCTTAGCTTCTCGTCCCCGTTTGTAGCGTCTACAGCGGTGTAAAATTATATTGCCAATAGCTTGTCTAAAATTTGTTACTCGACATTAATTGGATTAATATATTCAATTCGATAATTAACAAAATGACAACGAAGATGGACCGTAGCTCTCCAGAACAAATGCCCGCGATTACGTTTATAATTTAATTACTCGACAATCGACTGAATAGTATTATTTACTACCAATACGTTTGTTGATATTGATTATTACGAAATACCATCTATAATACCTATTATTTCAGTAGACGTTCTTCTTGCCAACATTCTTATCACCTTGATGACTACATATAAGCGCCCCGAAAATCCCTTTGCCACGCAACTATCAGAACGGTGATCAATGTTTACATCATTTTCTTATCGATACAATTCGATCGTAACATGATGTTTTAACTACGTTATCTTGTGTTCAATATTTATTTTGGCCTCGTTGATGAATATTAGTATACAGCTGAATACAGGATTATACTATTCTATTCGTATAGTTTTCCGTGTCCCGTTTCATCAAGTTTTGCTCTGGACATCGGCGAAATTTAAATTTGTTTCAACGGATAAGTTTGTTAAACGCGTCTCCTCGAGAAATTTTCTTTTGTTGTTGACCCTTAAATATTTAAACCTGTATTTTATCGCCAATAAACTTTAAAAATATCTATTCCCGGTTGCTAATTCGAAATATTTTTAAATATTTTATGATGTTTCTTATTTTTCTTAAGTCGACTAAATTGTCAATTTTAACTGAACATATCGCTTGTGATTGCAACTCCCGAAAAAGAAATTGGGACAAAATTATATTATGTCATTAGCACGTGAATATACTTACCTATATAATATATATACCTACTTTGCAATTTTCTCCTTTGCTATCGAACTCCTCTCCAAAACTATTGTTTTCCGCGTGTACCGCAAAATCGTGTTCCTTGTATATTACAATATATCTAATATATTAACGATTTATCAAACTGTTCTATCTCCACTGTTGTCCTTAATATATCGACCAGAGAATATAATATTCAATTTTAACTATATATACGTGGGAACAACGACCCCTGTTTATGCTCGCGCGTGTATCGCCACTGATAACGTGGTAACGCTTGTAGTGAAATTATCCCGGGAATGGAGAGGCCTATACTATAGACTGTGTACAGTATTTTAATTTATAAGTGAAATTTTAAAGTGTTTTAAGTTTTTTTTTGTTTTTTTTTTTTTGTCAATTTGCACCGGCATCTTGATAGCGATGATGTATACATAATTTCGTTTGCAACACATTTACGTATTTCATATGATGTTTATATAGTGCATTAATTGAAAAGACGATCTTTGAGAAGGGATATTAAATGTTTTATAAATGTATACGTTTTTTTTTCGACCACCGTGCACGCACAATATAGCAGAGACTTTATGTACTCGCTTCATAATATTATATACTATCTGAACCGAGAGTAGGCTAAACAAAACAAAAACAACTTTCTAGACTATAATATATCATATAGGCCAAGGGTTGGTAATGTTTTTTTGCAAATCACGTTTACCGAAAAAAAAAAAATAATACAAACCATACAGGTACCCTAATTTATTGTTTCTCGACCGAAAACTTATCTAAAATAGACGCCTTTGACCTACCTGACTAATATTTAAATTATTATTATCTGTTCTCTAGACCGAAACGTCCTGCAAGTCGAACGCGTGAAAACTTTCCGGGTTGCCGACCCCTGGCACTACGGCAGTATAGCGAAGAACGCTGAAATTCTACGTCGCCGATACTGTTGATGTTGCATCGCTCGCGCATATGAATGAGGTAAGTCCCGTTAAATCTCTTTTTATTCGTTCCGATTTTTGAACTGTGACGACTGTTTTATATTTTCCGTTTCCGCCGACGGCGACGATGACCGTATTTAAAAGGAAGTGTTGTTGCACCACTGTATACAGATGTGCTGTTTCCGTCTTATATACAAACGTACAATATATTCGCGTTCAGCAGCAACAACTTTTCACTGTCTGTTGGGTTTAAAATTAACGCGAATCGACCCATTATCAAACTGGCCGATAATAAAATGATCCGTACAACTACGTCGGTTATTTTTTTTCTTTCGTCATTTTAATTTGCACGCGGGATATCAGTGTTGTGTAAAAGATATTTCACATTTGTGAAATGTGAAACACATGTTTCGCTTTAAAATCAACATATCGAGAGAAAAATCTACGCAAGCGCTCGGATGTTTTCATCTTTAAGTTTGATAATAGATCAACATTCGTGTAACAGCATAAAGTTGTCCCTGCTGAACTAAAATTGTCTATGTCGTAGGTACGTTTGTAAGACAGAGACAGTACCTACATACCGGTATCACAATTTGGGAAAGAATTTTAGAGTGAACATTTTCGAACGTGAAAACTCCGTGTCGAAAACTCGTTTTATCTTAAAACGAGCACAAATTAGCGTTAAACAGCATATTGTAATATGTAAATACAAATAGAACAACACATCAACACCTTTTTATCTATATAGGGAATAACTGCTATTATCTATTTAGTACCCACTAAGCTTCTTGTCCGCCGTTGCCCGTGCCAAAAGAAATAACATTTATTATTCTGTTCGGTTTGTTTTGGGTAGCCCGTTAATCAACTAAAATTATCAGATTTTCGCACAAAAACACGAATTAGTTCCTTTAGGAATTGGATTCAGAGAATGGGGAGTAGCGTGTATATGTTATTCCTGGTGGTATCATAGATACATCAAACCGTCCAAACAAACTTTTGCATTCACAATATTAAGTAGGATTATTATTTAATATAATGAAAGTTACTACTTTATTTTTTTTTTTAATATTTTAAAATAATGGCTCTCTTTAATTTTCAATATCAGCTAGTTTCGTTCGAGTAAATTAGTAAATCAAATACGTCATATTGTGTATAATAATATTCTTGCTTGTCTCAAGTTATCATAACGAATAAAAGTTCTAAAATCACATTGAAGTGTACTGTACTATCTGCAGTTTTACGTAGTGAACGTATTTTTAAACAAATTTCACGATACAATAAATGATTTATAAATACTTGAAGAAACTATTTTTTCTTGTAACATTTATATGAAAGTTAATATGATACAATTTCATTTTTTTTTTTTTTCATAAATACCGTTACAACTGCTTTTAAGCTTCTCGTAATGCGAAAGCTAAATCGTCATTTTAATATTTTAATACAATATATGATTACAATTGAATTTTACAATCAAATAATATAATAATATGCTATTTCACACGTTCGTCGTTTTTTAATTATATTTTTATTGATAAATCACGAAATCATAAATACATTTGTATAGTTATTTTCCCACACCATACAAATGATTGAAAATACTTTTATATTATGTTCACACGGCTATACTATTAGCAGTTTAAATTATCACTTTTTTTTTTTATTCTCGTGTAATTATTACGAATCGTGTGCACCGTGAATACATAATAAATTACTTGTGATATACCTATTACATAGCGATTCGGATATTGTGCATTTTGAATATAATTAGTCATCCGTGAAAAAAAACCCCGTAATTTTCTCTTCCGTTTACTACTCGTATCAGCCATTACTAATAAATAATCGAATTAAATTCCATATTTGTCTCTTTATAATATCTTCAGTTTTCTCATTTCTAATAATTTTCCAGGGTCATGTTCTACAGCCTTCAGTTTATCTTCCTTTGCCCCCAAAAACATTTATATATCGTCACTTATACTATAACATGACATACGTTTCCGAAAATTGTTCTATAATTTTTATTCATTCGTCTCTCGTGGTTACGCTGTAAATTACGAAAATGATAACGCCATTTATATCAAAACCCTGTATCAACATAACGTATTTTAGTCAATGGCACGTGACAATAGTGGCATCGTGAAGAAAAAAATACATTCTTTGTGTGAAATATATAAATTAAACGTTACCAATATTTTTAATTTAGTGAAATTTAATCATTTAAGTAATGTGTGTGATCCTATAAAACTGCAAAAACTAAGACATGCGCTGTTGCTGTATAAGCAAAGATATTATTACTTGGGGTGTGGTGTGATTTCGCAGGTGCAGTGCCCATTAAACCATATAAATAACACGTCTATATGCATAATAATTGTCCTTTGTAGCGGCAAACTTGTGTTCATCACTATGTTTACAAAACAGTGCCCTCATTTCAATATTCGGTAGATTGCAAGGGCAAATTCACCAAATTTACCGACTTACGAAGAAAGAAGCTATGTATACTTACGTATAGAACCCCATTTTGGATTTTATGTTTTCCACGATATACTATTACCATTTAATTCGTCATTTGTTTGACATATTTCAGAAATTTGTTTGACTTATCCCAAAAAAACGATTCGCCACTCACCGCACATTATTATATTATTAGGGGAAAAACCTTATGTTATAGATTAATTATTATACTTAACGTTATGAAAATTGTATATATTTTCGGTTTTTATTGTTTAGCTATTAATATGTAATAGATGTATATCTATAAATACAGCTATAAATAAAGTTGTACGTATCATACGAAAAATTTGTGTTTATCGTTATTGTAGTATTTAAAAGTTTTATTTTACTATAGTTAAAATCGTTAGAATAGGAGGGACTTTTAAATCTCTCTACTTTCTTTGCTTTTTACTAGTACTTTTGTTATGTGCATATGGGAATCCGTTCCCTAACTAGAAACTAATAATTTGGAATAATTATTACTATACAGGGACTTATTCCCTAATTATTATATTAGATACCGTGGTATCGTCTGTATTGTTTTTTTTTTTTTTTTTAGAGGTTAGGTCATACATATATATATATATATATTTCGTATACATGCAAGTTTGTAGCTCGTGTATATTATACGCATATTACATAGGTAATTTAATATTATTATTAATAAAATGAAATATACATATTATATTATACGCGCACGATCGTCATATATATATATAATCTCCGCGAGATTAATTAAGCCCGCGGAAATTAGGATGAAGTTTTCACCGTGACAGTGTTACTCCGCGCCGGTGTAGTTATACACACTGTGAAAATAATCCTTGCTCGCCGTCAACAAAGAACATAATAATATAAATATATATATATATATACGTATAATGTCTTGCGAAAAACTTATGCGGGCTTACATCAAACTTCAATTCGGTTACGGCGCCGCGACAACAACGACAAAAGGTATATAATACAATTTATAAAAGGGACGAGTGAGAGGGAGCGTGAAAAAAAAAGGTGTTTCGGAAAAGAACGGGAAGGAGTCGCGGAGAAAGCGAGTACATGCCGCCGCCGCCGCCGTCGTCGTCGTTTGCCGTGCGCGGATGATTTCAGTTCTCTGTGGAAATTAAACCCGACAGTTTTCGCGGAGTTCTTTTTCTTTATATACTGTATACGTACACTTACGTTCGTCAATAATAACGACACCGGCCCGCAGTAGATCACATAATATGTTTTATATATATAATATAAAAAAAAAAGGCAAAAAAAAAAAAACACCCAAAGAAAACCGCGTTGTTTATACAGACTTATCGCGGCTGTGGCGTTCGCAATGTGGTGTGGCACTAGAAAGTGAATAAAAATGACGTCTATATTCTTCCGCGGTCGACGAAGAACGAAAGCAAAAAAAAAAAAAAATATACCTAAACTTATCTTTTCTCTCTCTGTCTCTCCCTGTCGAGGTCTAAAAGTGTTTCCAATCCCTTTTCTTTATCTTCGGCGGAGTTTATACATTTTTTTATATATATATATATATATATATATATATACACGGATCCGTTGTTGAATGGATACAATATAAACTCGACGTTTTTCCAGATAAAATACGCTCTTTTATATTATAATATTAACTTATATAGTATATGAAAAAATATATACATTTTTTTTTTTTTTTTTTTGGAAATTTAAAAATTACAATATCTCTATGCACTTACCTACCTACCTGCCTATATACGCATCACACGTCGCTTATTATTATTACAATGAACTCGCGCTTGATTAAAATCGCATTATTGTCCAAATATCATTCATACGCGGTTGTTTTTTAAACTTTTACCGAGACATTTCTGTGATAAAAGAAAAAAATACAAATACAAATATACAACAATAGTATAATATAGTTTTAAATTTCTCTTTCGGTTTCGGCGTTATTGAATAGGTGGTTGTTTTTTTTTTTTTGTTCAACTTTAAAAACTACAATAATATTATAAATAGGAGGTACCTTATATATACGTGTATAAGAAAATCCAAAAACTTTGAGTGTGCAGCTCGTTAAATATATTTTTCACTTCCAATGTTTCGTGTCATTCGGGAATTTCATAATAATAATAATACTTTTAATTAATTTCAAAGTCAACTTTAAGAGTGAGCGAGGATGAGGGGATGGGTCGGGTGTGAGTGGACGGACGTCCCCAATTTTCCGCTTGTTTGCAATTTTCATATAATAAACCTACTTTTGAAAACAACGTCGGGTCAAAAATAAATTAGATAGAATAAACTTTCACCGTAGGTATACGGATCATAACAGTATCGTTTACGGCATAGATATACGAAAAACAAAGTTTTGACGACCTCGTTAAACACACAAAGTTATACGTTCATGTATTTTTTCGTTTTCGTTTTCGTTTTTTTTTTTTTTTTTTCATATTTGTTGTTCATATTTTTTGGCGTCTTATTATACCAATGAAATTGTCCGCGGTGACTCGAAATTTTGTTTTCGCGAAAAAAAAAAAAAAATGCTTACCTCTGCCGCCTTTAGTCCGCGAACCATTATTATAATAATATGTAAATAATTTACATAAAACAAAAAATATAATTTGCATGAAAAAACAAACATTTGAATATTATATATTTCGATAAGTATTATTGTTTTTTTTTTTTTTTTCAGACAAAAAAGCAAATTATTTCACAAAGATGTATTCCCTACCATCCTCACAAAACCCACCCGTTTGGCGAGTGAAAATAATCCGTTTTTCTCCCGGTGGTACTTACGCCGAAAAACGTTCCTATAATTTCTCAATGCGTGGCTTTTCTAAAATATTAAATCAAACCAAAAAACTCGCTACGGGTACGTTCGTTTTATTTTTGTCGATTTCCGCGTTAAGCACCCGCCTATTGTTTTCAGCTACGGGAGAGTGGGGGAACCCAATTAATACTATCTATACATATCCAACCTGGGTCGGTTTACTAAGCTCCGTTTAGAATCGGTTTTTGATTGCGACGGTTTTATCGTTGCAGTCGGTATGTAAACCTAGTTATCCTCTCTGCAACTATGTCCTAGCTTTTCTTTCTCCAATTCTCACAGGCTGTAATAATAATTTTCGTTTTAATTTCTATACCCACTGCGTTAATAACATTATTATTATTACGAAACAACACCGCGTAATTATAGAGTAATTTGAACAATACGCATTTGCCTAACGTAACTTTAATGTTACGTATAATAATTTTTTTCTGTATGAACTTAAAATAGTCGGTATACATAGACTGATGCACATATTATTATAATGCGCATCGTCACTGATATATTTTTAAAAAGAAAAACTTACTCGGCATTATAGGCGGGCATGTCGTGTACACTTTTTAAAAACGCGTTTACAAAAACGAATATTATCCGCGGCATGTCTCGTTTGGAAAATGAAAAATTAGGTTCTACCTACTCTCTTATATTTTATGTGCCTAAGTATATCTAATTACAGGCCCGAATATTATAATCCCCTCGCTTATATATTATAATACGCGTAACCCTTTTCGGCTGTTGTGTTTATGCGTATGCGATTTTTTCGTCAGCTGACGTTTTGTAAATCGCGAATCTGTCACACGAACGAGAACCTTTCGCGTATGTACAACTGCCCTAATGTCCGTCATTTTTATCAGTTATAATGTAGCGTTTTACACACGTCGGAGATGTGTAGGTAATTAGATTTGGAAAAAAAAAAGATTGAGAGAGAGAGAGAACGGGCTCTAGAGGATTTGCAGGTCGAGAGGTGTAGGACAACCGCTTGATGTAATGAATATACCAACGTATCCGGCCACTGCGGGTTTGTGCAAGCAGCAGTGTTAATCCGGCTGTTCAAATGCTGTACTGCAGTTTATCCTCGTGTTTATAATTTGTTCGCTTATTTTTCGAAATTCCTACGTCCTACCCCTGCTCGTTTTAAATAATAATTGTATGGGGGGGGGGAACGACCAAAAAGGACAAACGGGATACAAGCTCCACCGCATCACGAAGCCGAATTTTAAATTTCAATTGTTCTACACTATTGTACGACTAGCTGTCCGGCACGGCTTTGCCTGTGTCTGTATGTATTGAACGGAAAACATATTTTTTCGCGCGTTTCTCCGTGAATACACTCCGTTTCCACATTGTTCCTATCACGGCAAACCGTTGTCCGTCAATTCATTTTTTTTTTTCTTGCCCCCGACCACCGTAATAATTAATAATAATTGTGTCGCCGAGGTAACTCGTAAATCAACAAAAAGAAAAATTGTATTTTCTTTCCAAAAATCCTTTCTTCCCTACATTCTTGCCCGCGAGACATCTGTGAAAATGTCGAGTTTCTAGACCCAAGGATTCGGACAGTTGATAGTCAATTTATTATTTTATATACCTACCATATATTTGGAATACAAACGGAGACTCATATTATATTGAATTTGAGACTTTCCTTCCTAGCAAAGTCGAGAACAATATTACTTTTATCGTACAGACCAATGTTCGTAATATCGCCAAAACTTTGACTTGGTGTTTTTTTTTTTTTTTATCTAAGTTGTCAACTTTAACATTGATTTATCTATATATATATTTTTTTATTTTTTTTGAAGATCCTAAATGTAACGTACCTATATCAGCTCCCAAAGCATCAAATGAATCATCCACTTTTATGAGTTTGTATATCTATGCTTTCTGTATTGGAGTTTTTTTTCCCCCCCGTTCCGATTGAATTTCCTTTTTGAATTTAGGTAATATAAAAACTTGTTCTGGGGTTGAGGTTTGTTATTCAACAGATTAAAATTTGACAGCCACACTATAGTGATGCTGATACAGACCGACGGGTATTAACGTATATAATACGTAATTGATTTGCAAGGAATTAGACAATATGTTTATATATTAAAATATTTAATACACTAAAAGCATAGCATAGCATTCGTAGTAATTTGCCTTAATTAGCATATAGTTTAATTACACCGGGATATGTTTTTTTTTTTTGTTTTTTTTTTTGCTGTTTTTGTCTGTCCTCGACGTCGTGGAAGGAAACAATTAATTTGATTTTTAAATTTAAAATTAATCCATATGATGCGATGAATGAAATTAAAAATCAGTTATAATATTATGATGTAACGTACTTATACGGATATTTCGGATATCATAGTGAAAATTCGACGCCTTCGAGAGCTAATCAAAAAGTATCGAGACTGATAGCATTACTCATAAAACGAACATTTAAGTGCAATGATTACAATCCTACAGTATCCATTAGCTTCTATGATTTATTCTGTGTGTCATATCAGTTTTTGTAGATTCTCTTTAAACTCTTTCGTTTTGATTTCGCCATTATTTTTGTCAAAATGTTTTTCGTAGTTGACGGTTTTATAATGAATCCTATAAAACAGCGACATAACGAACTTTTTATGGATTCGAGATAATTTTTAATTTTTTTTTTTTCAATTTCAGAGAATTGCAACATTTTACACGGCTTATGCCAAAAACTTGTAACTGAAAAACTACAGATGTGCCCAATGGCAACAAAGTGTATCCCAGGAATGTTGACGTGGCTTGAAAATAATTTCAAATTCAGGTTTGCAGCTGCTACTCGGCGCATACGCAGTTTTTCAATTACAATGTTTTTGAAATGTTGCATTTACCTAAAACAAATCGCTAACACGAAAAACATCGGTGAAATCAAAACGAAAAAGTTTATAGAGAATCTATAAAAACGGGTGTACTCAGAATAAATCACAGAAGCCTGTGATACCAATCTTACTGCTGTTCAATGCTCGGTTTACGAGTAATATTATCCAGTTTAGGGACTTTTTGATTGGCGCTCGTACACGTATTTTTTAACAATCGGGATTTATACAAATATTATATGTCGTTGCGCTCGCCCGATTTTGGCAACAAAATCGCATAAATCTGTTTTGGTCTGACCGCCGTCCGATGAACATAATACTAATATGTACATAATACGGGTTATCTTTTTTTTTTTCTTACAGTGGCATGTATGTTTTTTTTTTCTATTTCACGAATCACAAATATCTTAACTGCCGAAACGATATCATGCGCGGGGCGGCGAACAAAATCATGCCTCACGTGTAGAATTCCAAACGTAATTTTCCGGACCATTTTGTCCGGACCAGACTGGTAAAAAAAAATATATATATATATATATAAAAAAACTTTTACCGGCCATTTTTTTTCTACCGGTCAAAAAATTCACAACGCTGTCGTAAATGAAATATACGTATTATATAGGTATACGAAAATGTATTATATTAATATTGTATCCACACGCGGTTTTTTTTTTTTGCTTTTTACACGACGGCCCATTTACCATAATAAGGGTGGACTAACCTTCCCTTTCCATTCCCCCTCCCCACGCCACCGTGTTTATAACTAATGACACTAATTTCACTCGAACAGGGCGCAATTTTACTCTTAAAAAATGCAATTTCCAATTCTACTTTTTGTTTTTTTACTCGTATATGTATACTCATTTACCGGATGATTTTCAGTAGTAAAAACATATTGTTTTTTGACGCGAAACAGACAAAAGTCGAGAGGAAAAAGTTTTAAATGATTTTAATGATAAAATAAAACAAGCTGTAAAAAGAGCGAAAGGGAAACCTCGTGTATTATGCGTTTTTTTTTTTTTTATATAATATCAATCAGAAAAATATTTAATTATATATAGAAAGACGCAAAAAAGTTTTTAATAAAAACTTTGACGGATGCTTTCCTCTTTTTTTTCGTGAACTTTGAACAAATATTACGAAATTAATACTTAATGCGATGTTATTATGACACGGGATCACTTGTGCACTTATTTAAAAGCTAATTAAATTTTTGAGTTGATGAATCCCCGTTAAAATTCCCTGTACACGCAACTCCTTAAATTGTATACCAGGCGTGCGAAAATATAATATAATATATACCGAAGTGATGATTGTTTTTTTGAAAACCGTTTTTACGATAAAAAATATCGACAAAAAAGCCAAACTTGTATGTAAAATTATATGTCCAAACTGCGTATTAAGTATACTTGAAATTCAATAGATCGCGCGTTAGTAAAATAATACTGAATTCGACATTTGTTACGCGTGCGTGCGAGAGTGACAAATGCACAGATTTTTTTTTCAATGAGGTTAATGAGATTGTTATTATCCCTTGATATTATGGATGATCTAGTCGAATGCCAAGTATATCGTTTGTGAAAACGCAAAGAATTGTTATTAATGTCGTTTTCTAGCTGACTGCATTCGCGTACAACACTGGCGCAGTCATAGACAAGTAAATGAATAACCCAAGACATTTAACACGTGACACGTTGAAGCCAACATGTGTGCGAGAGAGACAGACAATGTATGGTTTTTACGGATGATAAACTTGTTTGGCATACTTATTTTTCTGTGGTAAATTCAAAATTATCAATGAAGAAAATGTATAATTGCACTTAAAACAGCTTTGGTAAAATCGCACATTAACGTTTTCAGAGTGATTTCTAGATTTCTAGTCTACCCATTTATATGTACCTACATTAATATATCTATGTGCGCAGCATAGGCGCAGAGGGATGCAAAGAAGTATTTAGCACCCCCGAAAATACCCAACAAGCTTTTTTACAGTATCGACCAAATATTTCATCAATTTATTTCATAATAATTATTAATGAGCAGAATAAAATACAGATTACCTATACAAACAACTTATGTGTGTATAAAAAATAAAGTTAAAACGTTAGGATACATTTTTATGTTAAAAATTGTAAATGAAATGTGTATTCGCTTAATATAGGTCTCGTGTAAAAAGGTGATTGTTGAGGCATTGCAATGGCACAGACCCTTGAAGGCACGGGTCTGCAGTGGTGTGTCTATAGCACCCCCAAAGTTGGTGGTCAAGTTGCGCCTTATGGGGTGCAATACACTATTTTCCCGTTACCACGTGCGGTATAGATTACACAATAAATTCCGTACGGCGGTGTAGCGCAAATTTTGTAAAAAAAAAAAAAAAGCGACACCCTCGATTTCGACGCTTAGTAATAATAACGAAAAAAATAAATGACGACACTCGTTATTCGGTGAAATCGAATAAAACGCGCGTTGTTGTTTGTTGGAAACGGGTTTCGGTTTTTTTTTTTCTTTCGTGTATTGCACAAACCGCGACGCGTACCATATATCAAGTTCAAGGTTTTCGACGCGATAACGCGGTACAATTAGAATAATTTTTTATACACATATATATATTTAAGAATATTATTATTTCAAGGTTTGTTATTTATTATTTTCTTTTTCTTTTTTTTTGTTACCAAGGTTCCGCCGCGCGAATCGTAATCTCGCGTATACCGATATTATTATTAAACGTGACGCGGATTATCGGAGACAAAACATTAAACGGATTTCCGTTAATTTTTTTTTTCTTTGTTTACGAAGGTGATTGTGACGGGGAAAACTTATTATAACAAACGATTTTCGCCGTTTTCGCGGGGTAATCCGAGAATATAACAAACAGCGGCGTTCGCTTTACTGTGCAGGCGTACTTAGGCGCGTGCAACAGATCGAACTGTTGTCGGCGGATGCTGCGCGCACACACAATGCTGCTGACCTTTCGCTGCCGGGACCGTCTCTATATGTACTGTACCCGAACAATGGGCGACCGGTTTCCGACCGTGTTCACGGCCGACCTATTCGTTCTTTGTTTTTTTTTTTATGTATATTATATACATTTTTTTTCCCTCCCGACTCGTCTACGGCGGCGGCTCTCCCGGTGAAATCGCCACGTATATAAAGTAGATATTTTATAGGTACCTGTACACATTTTCCACCCACTAATTGACACGCCGCCGCCGTAATCGCAGTCGTCTTCTGCTTCGGTTGGACGCACTGTTGCCAACTGTTATTGTTGTCGCGTTTTTATTTTATTATTATTTTTATTTTTTTTCCCGCAACCGCACACACGAGGCCGTCCCGCACGCGCGAGTTTCGGGAACGATTCGTGGTTCGCGCGCGGAGAAAAAAAAAATTAAAAAAAATTGGTACCGAGCGCTCAAAGTCCGTCGATTTTCGGCTCGGTCGGCCGAGTTCCCGTAAAGATATTGCGATAGTCTCGGATTATTAATATTATTATTATTACGCCAGCACTCCTGTAGTCCTTTCCGTTAGGTGTCCTTCGCGACGTGCCCGTATCTTCGATACGATTATAGGACAATACGATTTATCGATATTCGGGGCTACGAACCAGCGACGTAGCGGGGAGGGGGGGTTGGTGTGTTCAGACTCTCACCTATTATGCCAAAAATTATAATTTTTACCATTTGCCGTTATGCATCAGATTTCTACTAGATGCGTGTTGTGTTACGCGTCTGGATAATTATTAAGTAATCGTGTTGCGTATTTTCCATGCGCACAATATAGTTGCAAAGTTACGTCTAAACACGAAACGAAAACACCCCTCCAAAAAAAATCCTGGCTACACCACTGATATGAACGACGGTACGCGTTTTAATTGAATCCTATTCACGATAGTCACTTTACCAAGTCCCGTGGTCGTAAAACGATCAAACATTTCGGTCAGTCGGTTAGTATTGTTGTCGCTCTGGTCGAATCGATATTGACCAATCGTAACGCGGGAATGTACGTTTACGTACAATGGTCTGTGTACATCTCGTACTGAAAACCTAATTGTGCTCACGTTTGGATTCCTCGTAATTTTAAGTTTCACTGTCGCCTGGTATTTAAAACTTCCCAAAACTCGGCACGGTTCAAAAAAAAAAAAAACAGTGCCCTTATTACCGCAATGACCTTTTCGTGTTCACTCATACATTGCCACAAGGCTATCGGGGCCCATGAAAAAAAAAAACATAAATAATAACGCTGTATATTATTGTGCTCGTATGTGAAATTGAAGAGAACGATATAATATCTACGACTATTCAATAATCACAATTATTCTTATAGCTTATTGAGAACGTTTATTTTGATAGTTTAAACGACTATCGGTAAAAAAAAACGTGTTTTAAGAAGGCGGGAAGATAAAAGATTGTGCAAAACACCACCCAAGTTTAAAAAACAAACTCCCGTACAACACTTTTAATTAATATTCCACGTGTACCATTTCGATAAAAAAAATATGGTTCAGATATCCATTATCGGGTCCACCGCCGCGCCCACCCATTAAAAGAAGGATAACAACCGCCACCCTTGACTGCTGGTTTCGGCGCCACTGGTTTAACCACTGTGGTACTTATTATCTGACGATCTTTGCATAAGGTGTATAGAAATGGCCGCATCTTTATTAACTATTGTACCCATCAAAAAAATCGTCCAGCATTCGCAGTTATTATTCAAAACATCATATGTGTTAGTATATTGGGGGTCCTCATCAATTTTGAAATTAACAACATTTCAAAACTGACATATGGTACGAATACGCCTTAATGTGGTTATACACGTAGTGCCTTTGTATCCACCCGCAATTTATGACGCGTGAAACTCCGCAGAAATAATCGCTTCAAAATTGTCCGTTAAATTAAACAATTAAAAAAAAAAAGACTTCCATCGAAGATACTCTTTATTCCTTCGCCCACCTCCCACTCTTACCAAAGAGTAATCAAATTCCTGTTATTACGGTAATATAGACCCCGCGGTGACATTGTAGGCTTTCCTATTAAAACCCACGAAGATTAAGATAACGGTGTCCAAGCGTGCATTCTGTATAAAATATTATTGTAAAGATTTTGTCGACTCATCGTAAAATATAATAATCGGTGACGGTTTATCATAATCATTAAAATCTCTATTTAATATATCCAATAATCTTAAATCGTGTAATATCCATAATAATCGCGTATCGAAAAGGTCTCAGGGGGCGTGGGAGTGCTAAAATTGACAATCTGACCACCTTAAAAAAAAAATTTGTCTACGTTTTAATCTCAAAAATTTACACATCAATATATTTCTCAAACGCCACAATTTTTATTCTACTTAAAGTAATATTTGATTAAGTTTCTTACAGCTAATTTACATTGGCGGGTTTTGCGCCCTCTTGAAATTGGTTTTTATGTAGGTACGCATTATAATATTTAGTATTTTTTTTTCGATTTCTTTCTTTCAAATTTCCAAATTTACATAAGTCGCTTATTGATTGGGAGCGGAACAGGGAAAACAAATCTAGTCGAACGGCCATCGTAATAATCATATCAACATCCGAGAAATTCGTGTAGATTTAATTTTTGTTCTCCGTTACGTGTTCAAAACTACAAAATACATAATATGTACAATATTTTTTTATTCTTTTTAGATTTTGAGTTTAGCGAAGAATATATTGGTTTTAAAAAGATGTTTATTTTTTTATGTGAACATTTTTTCTACCAAAAAGCTTACTCTGCTTGTCAAGTAAAGCACCGTTTCTGAAAGGAAAAGTTTTCTGGATGATCTTTTTAAAAGGCCATTTTTTGAAACTCCCATTAATATTTGAGATAATAAGGAAAACCCGGTTAATTAGGTTAAAAAAGATCGAAAGATTAAAAATAAGGTGTTCATTGGCAACCGTTTTTATTTATTTAATGTTATTATTAAGTTTTTATTATTTTAATCTTTTTTAAACAATCATTGTAGTCATGGAAACACACATTGTTGTAATCATTTTACCATAATATGCCATTATATGTTTATATATTGTTGACAAAGCAACACTATCAACTGAACTCGACTAAAAATCGTTTTTTCGTTAGCAACGGTTTATCGTTACTTATATTATATATATATACATTAAATAACCGTTTGTATACTAACTTTCCAACTTCCTACCTACAAGTGCGAAGTATGTCAGTCCTTTTTTTTTTTTTTTTTTAATACGGTCAAAAATCTGTTTCTGTATATTGAATAACACGAGTTATATCAATCGCATGGCGTAACAACAAACCAATTTTAACTAATTGTTGAAAAATTAAAACCGCATTTTATTGATATACTGCAGTCTAGTTAACGGTCGACACTGAAATATTATCGAACACGCACTCGCTTTGTATAATTTAATGCTCCGCTCTGTCATAATCGTATACACAGTCAGCTGTTCTACATTCGATTAATATCGCATAATACTCTCGTATTTGCCGTCTTTTTCTTCTTATGCGTACAATAACTGACTTATAATAATAATTATCGTAAAAATCGAATGGTTAAAAATCTGTTATACCCTCAGGATATTTTAACGTGGTCCTGACGTATGTCCCTGTCGTCGGCTTAAATACTATTATACGAGTGTTTATTTAGTAATCTAGTCTCGAAACGCCTAACCTAGCCGATTTACAATATAGGAAAAGTTCGGTTAAAAATTAATTTTTTTGGATCTGGCTTTCTTCAGTATAGTAGAGAAGAATATTCTAACAATTTTATTTGTGATTATTATTTGTTCCATATCTACAGTACAGTAATTAACAATGATCAACATAAACTAGTTTATCTAACTAGTTAAGAAGCTAGGTTTTTTTTTTTTACCTTTTCACCGAACTAATTAATTATTATTTCTATCTAATTAACTAATTAACCTAGTTAAAGTTATCATTGTACAAACTTATGAACTTTGTACAGTTAACTGGTTGTTTTTGGTACTGCGATAGTTTGATTAAGTCTATTTTTGTATGATTTACAAGTATATACAAATATTTTATATTACTTGGATGAAGACTTAAGAGAAAAAAATAAACAAATTTAATATAATATTACTTCATATTGTTTTTTTTAATGCTTTATTGCGTCGACAATTTTTTTGCATTTTAACTCGATTACATGGTTCAATTTATTTAACTTTTTTGTTTACCGGAGGCTTTTGTTGCGTATTTAACACCGCCTGATCGAGTCAATTATTTTCATTAACCCGTCCGCATTTGGTAATTATTGTACACGAGCGTATAAAATGCCGATAATCTCGCGCGCGGTAGCGTGCGCTCGAATACTTTTTTTGTCGCGAAACTTTTTATTTTTGCCACAGACAATATTTCGATTATGATTTTTTAGTTGTCTCCCAACGTCGCACACACACACTCACCGAGTTCCGTCCCATAAATCACAACCCGTCTCATATATATATATAATAATTTGTTACGAGTCTTATAGTATATAAATATAATATACGTACATACATGGCTCGTGCTTGCAGCAGATATATTTTATTCGATACTCGCCGCACAGTTTCCGTTCATAAAAGTCTTAGAGGGTCGCTGCAGTAACATTCTTCATAATAATAACAATAATAAAAAAGAAGAAGAAACTTTTCCCTTCCTCATCGTCTCTCGGTGCTGCGCGCCGCCGTCGAAGAAAACCGTAACTGTACGCCGCACTCGCGACAAAACTTTTAGCTTTTTTCGATGCGTCGCTAATAATAACCGAAAAAATGGCAACAAAAATAAAAATTTTTTAAAAATTCACGTAACTCGACGTATATATATTTGTACAAAAACTGTCAGGTTTAAAATACAATATTTCGTCGTCGTCGGCGGCAGCGCCGTAGTTGACAGTGCGCCGTACTTAGTAAGTTTTTTCGGTCGTCACCGCCTCCTACTGCCGGTCCATTTTGAAATACTTTACTAATTATTTATTATTATTGTTATTATTACCGGTAGCCGGGCAGTGCGCGCAAATATCGTTGGGCATAAAAAATTTAAATCACAGCCGACTAATTGGCAAATAATTACAAATACTATACAGAGTGGATATCAGAGCGAGTGTTTTACGAATTTTTTCTTTCCTTTTAATATTCATTTTTTGTATTATTTGTTTTCCTTCCCAGGGCGTGTATTTAAAGTAAAATCAAATTCGTATTATTATACTTTATAATCTCAATCAGATTGTTCACTTTCGATATTTTCAAAACAACTGATTCGAAATAGATATAATTATTCTAAACATGTCGATCTGACATAGGTACATATTATTATATATATATATATATACATATCTGACAAATAGCTTCTTAGTAGTATAAATTTTAATTTCTAGAGAAATGATGTGGAAAAAATTGTATATGTGATTAAGGCTGCATATATAATGAAAACTTATTTTTGCTTTTTATATACATAATATATGCTTCCTAACACCGAATCCTATTGAGAAAAACAATTTTTGAGTAATTTAATATTATTCAATAACCATAAAACGTGCAGTGTTGTCGTTCAAAAATTAATTTATCTGCACGTATTCGGTTTTTTTTCTGTGAAATAAATTATATTTTCCTATATTGCCGGACAACTAGCGAAATAATGTGTAAAATATGTGTGTTTGTATGCATGTCTTTAAGACACTTTCCTATCTGCAGAAATCGTACTCCGTTCATCAACCGTTGTTCTTTCGTCAACTATTAAAATATCGAAATTTGTTACTATCATCGTTTAAAAATTCAATTTTTTTTTTATCTATTTGAACAGAACGATAAATTGGTTTTATTATATCGTTGGTCTCGGAGATGGACTTAGAGGCCACTGCAAATACCACGTAATTTTCGTCAAAAAATGTTTAACGTTCTCATTTCAAACGTTTTAATCTCGTAAATAATTTGATAAAATTGAAAATTGTACCGACCGATGATACAAAGCCAACTTGTTTATGAATTCCTACTTATATTTTTTAATTTTTTTAAAATCGAACTACTGTAAGTACCGACATTTTTGTTAGGCGAATAGCTACTGCACGTCCGTATAAATAACATAAACACGGGCATACTCTTTCTCCGTAAATGGATATATAGCGCGGGCAGTAAATTGGGCAGACAATTCGTTAAGGCGCGCGGTCATTAAAAGGTACAAATTAATTTTCAAATCGGTTTAACTAAATTTTTGTGACGTATAATATAATATACACTATATATGGTACACGTAACGGATTTATCGACGACAAAAATTGTTTTAGCGCGTTTGTCCCTGCTCGCGCAAAGTTTCTCCAAATCCTGCAACTTCCTGTTTCGCGCTCGTGCTCACCCGGAAATTAGCCTCCACAAAATCGATATACTTCCGCGAATCTATATACACGCACCTGTACACCTAAACACACACGATACAATAGATTATTATTACCGTTAATAATATGTCATCGCCGTCGTTGCAGGTTGTTGAGACTAAAATCGTATCTCGGACATCTGTATAATAATATCATACATAATGTCGTATAGAACATTGTAATAATAATACGGTTCGGACGGACGTCCACCCAAAAACGTCAAATATCCGTCGGCCGTTACCCCCGGAGACCGTTTGACCGAAACCTAACCCACGGCCGAATCAAACTGTATATATAATATAATATACGCATCTGAATGTCACTCCCGGCACCATAATACCCCGGGTATTTTATCCCGATATTCTCGTCCTTTTTTCTCTTTCTCTGCTGTCTCTCTTTATCTTTACCCTTCCGTAGACATCGTCTATCGAGATTCAGGATTATATTTTATGTTCACATATTATTATACGGTATATATAGGAAACGACGTCCACAACGCTGCCACAAAAAAAAACCGTATTACCATTACGTTTTTTTTTTTTTTTTTTTTTCGATTTTTCGATTTTTTCGTTGTCGTCCTGCAGTTGCAACTCTCGAATTTTATACGGAAATATATAACGTCATTCACTACACAGGTAGGTCCTCGTGAATTTTCCTATTATATTTATAATATGTAAATAATTGCGTTTGAACAAAATTGATGGTTGAACTTCGTGACCAATTTTCCACATGGAAATATCATGGTAATGGTACAAGTAGAAGAGATTGTCGATATAACTACGTCTTCATAGAAACCATTATGTACCTAAGTTTAAACATAGCGCGAATTTCGTTTTTCTTATAGAACCGTATATACAATACAAAAATACTTAGTTCATCATTTCCGTAATCAAACAATACCGTATACTATTATCATGTGGCTGTTTTTGTGTGCACCTATGAAACACTTTGTAGACTACAATATCCCAAATGTGCATTACCAAAAAATTAAAAGTGCACTCGCCATTTGCTTATTTATTATAGACGAGTCATGAGGTTTCGAATATGTAAGGAAAATACTTCTTTTTTTTAATATTTACAGTAGTAATTAATCCTCGATAAGACTCAATCTCAAAAAGCATTTACTTTATAGACATTTTTTTATTTTTTAAAAAAAATAGCTCTAATATGTCACATTATCTTTATTTTTTTTTTTTTTGTTCTTTTTTTGGAGGTGAAACTAGTATTTTTGATTTTTGAACAGCACCCCATAGAAAAAATTACTCAAATTAATCAAAATAAAAGTCGAATGCATGTCGAATCGAGTGTATTATAATAAAATGAAACAGTTGTCCGCGAAGTGACAGAGACTACAAAATTCGAAAGTTCTAACAGCAATTTAATATTATAATATACTGATTTTTTTTTTCGGTAGGTATATGCCCTGCAAAAGTGCAAAACTTCAATCGAGCGGTTTTGGTCGTTGTTACACTCGTACACAAAACCGATTTGTATGTTAATACCAAAACCCCCTCCACCAATTTAAAATTAATATATATTTTTTTTTTACCGCCCGCATAATATATAGACCAGAATTGATATTTTTCGTGCTTTTACGAATTGAAATTTATTCGTGTGCGTGGGTGGTATAAATGATGATGGCTTTTCAATTATTAAGTGTAGGTGCATATAATATTAGCAACGAAAAGTAAAAACAGGACGCAAAAAGTGAGTTTATGAATAATAATTTAAAGGCACTCAGAATTGTTAATAATTTCAGCAGTACAAATGTAACCGCGATTATCTTTATTATCTCTGGAGATATTCAAGGAGTACATCTTCGTGGGACAGCCTGTATATTTAAAATGTTACATCAATATTATTTTTTGTCACCCTTATTTTCGGTGGTTAATTTACTGCCTATCTTTGATTTTAAAATGGCAAACTATGTTAAAAATACAAACAATTTAAAAATATATTATGATCGACTAAAAATCGAATTTTGTCTTACGAAAACTAATCAATTTCTCGTCTTTAATGAATAAGAGTATTTGGTATTAGTTAATATAATGGCATTTCTGAAGCGAATAATATTTCTCTTCGGTGAGGTGAATTCGGTAAAAACCATACGTGACAGTTGACTAATGTGATGGCCGCGCTGTATGCTTTTTAGAACCATCACGTACGTAATATTATTGTTATTTTATTTGGTTTTTTTTTTTTTTTGTTGTTTATTCGCTTTTGTATGTGCAACGGTAGTTTCTAATCACACTTTTTATACGAGTATAATATATGCCTACGTAGGTACGTCGAGTCATAATATATTCACGACCGACCTTGAGCCGGGAACGATATCACAATCGCTATTTTTTATTATATTACATATAGCTGCAATATCTGGTTAAGTCTAGTCGCAGCGATAATTGACGGTAGTTTGGAAAGAAAAAAACAAAAATCATCAAAAAATCGTTATTAAAAACGTCGAGATTTATCGTATACAAGCGTAACCGGAAGCGGAATGTCGGCGATAATAATATTATATAATCTTCTTGTAATGCGGAAGATTCTAACTGGGCAGAAAAAATCAATTCGATTTCAAAACATTTTTTTATTCGTATAATCTTGCGGTCTAATCTTGCGTTTTCGGCGTCACAGTTGTGTTGTTTTCGCGTCGAATCCTTCGCGCGTTAAAAAAAAAAAATCGTGTTCGCCGTTTATTTGACCCGGTCATCGGTCGGTTTTTTTCCTGCACTTAACGAAATAAAAAAAAAACCCTTTCTAGAGTCTTGTCAAGGCGACTCATTTTAATAACATATCGAGATTAAGACATATCATTTTTATCCTTCGCCGAGATATTATTTTTCGTATCGTATTATTATCGTCTCTGCACATGATACATCTATATGTAACACTGATATTATTATACCTACGAGGGTTTACGAGCTCACAATACTTATTAATGACAATGTTTTTTTTTTTTTTTTTAAAAAAAAAAGTATTATAATTACTTCTAAAACAGAAAAAACTAGTATTTGGTGTACCGCTGTTTTAGGAGGA